CCGTTTGGCTATGATATCCACTTCACAGGTGATTGAACTAAGGCCCAGTGAGGTGAAGTACACGCCTGAGGCTACTCAGCTAGAGCTCCAGCTGAGTCCCTTTGCATTCTACCCTGTTTTCAGAGCTGCCCAGCAGGCTTGGCAGACGCAGGCATGAGCCACAAAAGGGTCATCATTGTGCTTAGACGCTGAGAGCAGCTATTGGGGCTGGGACCTCTCTCAATGCCAGGGGGACCTGCAAACATGACCCTTTGTGTGGAGAAGGTAGGCAAGCACTGTGTTGATCACTCCATGCTCCTTCTAGTGACATTTTTAAAAGGCAGCATGTGGGATGTAACGTAACTAAGGACACAATACCTGTTGTATTCAAATAATTCTTTGCTAAAGAAAGAATGATGCGATTCCAAAACCAAATTTTACAAGTTGAAATGGAAACGAATTTTATTATTTGAAGAGTGCCACTCAAGCCCTGTCTGTCACAAGTTCCTGTCATTAAAGGGTGACTGTTAAGGTTTGATGTGGAAACAGCATTAGATGAATAAGCATTTCTTGGGAAACCAATATCGAAAAATAAAATAGTTTTAGAATGGCTAAGCAGTAATCTGGTGAAATTGTAAAAATATGCAGGAATTGAGCGAATTTAAAAGCTGTTGTAAACAGCTGCACTTGAGGTCACTAATATTGCTTTCAGAAATATAAAATGCACTAAGAAGCATAGCTTTTAATGGCATAGCACTTTAACCTATGATTCAAACATGAGCATTACATTTTTTATGTGTGTGCTTAATCAAATTACATGGTACATTTTGGCACTGCTTCTCAAAAAATAATGGTAAGTTGTAACGTTCCAGGGCCAGAAATGGGCCCTTTCAAGTACAAAGCTTTTCTTGGCTCCTTGAAATCAAGGTTAAGTAGAACATATTTTAGAGTGCCTTAAATTCCATTGCCTCTGAGGTAGAAATACAGGTGAAACAAAAATGCTAACAGTACTTTAGGGAATACGAGTTAGTACAGAAATGTTGAATATTCACATCACCATACTTAGATTAAATAGCTACTATAGGCAGTTGTCTGTCAAAATTCTTTTCATTTGCTTTAACAGATGAGTGGTTTCATTATTGCACTGCAGTTTGCTTATGAGTGTTGAAAAATAACTCAAGTAGATTTCTCTAATGGTTCCTAAATACTCCTTATGATTTCTAGGCTTCAGGGTTTGTTTTTTATGTTTTTGTTGTTTTCTTTTTTTGGGGGGAAAAAAAAGCGTTAAGCTTAGACCGTTTGGAAGCATTTAGATCAGTTCCTCTAATCTGATTACATTTATATAACAGAACCCTATAAAAAGGATCTGTACTATTCCACCTTGACACAACTCTAGGATGCTCTAGAAACACTTGTGTTTTGCAAAAATAAAAATAGAAATTTTTAGCGCTTGATACACTTAAAATAAGACTTAAACATTTTAATTTCTACATAAAAGAAAACATACTCAAGTAAAATCAAATAAAAATAGACAATTCTTTTCTTATGCCTTAAAGTTAAAACAGTAACAGATGACAGGGAAGAGTCCTGTGTTAACATCATTATGGCTAGTTATAGACACAAATTTCAGAGCCATTTCTATTAAGGTTAGGTCGACTGCACATTGATATATTTTATTTCAAGTTGCATAGTACTTAAAACTGTAATAGTATTTGCCTTCCAGTTTTGATTGTCATCAGCATGTTACTTTTATACTGTAAGAATACTTCCTGTATTTTAAAAAGCACCTACCACAAAATTTTTTTTTTTTAGTTTTTGGGAGGGGAGTATCCTCAAAAGGATGGCTGAATAGTTTTGATGAGCCAAGAACCTGGGCTTCAATTTAGTGATTGATTTAATGAATAGAATTTCAAAGAAAAGTTTTTGTATATTAATGCCTAGGTATGCACAGAGTCAGAAATCAAAATGAATACATCTTTTTATTCAGAATGTTAGTGTATATGGCAACTATGAATGTATTTAAATGAAAGACACTTTTATACATAAAAGTGCTTTTCTGTCTGGCCTTAAATTACTATTAATTAAGCACTATATAACATAATACATAATTATAGTGTTTTAATGTGGATGCCAGTGGATTTGCTAGTCTCTCCAAATGGCTCTTGTTGGCTAATAGTCTTCAGGGGATCATATGTATAGTCATTGTGGTTCTAAAAATATCTTTAAATACCAATGGGACAGCCTTTTTTGAAGCATGGCTACTATAAAATGCACTTTTATTTGAAGTGTGTCATTTTAATGATATCACTCAATTACTTTCATGTAAATAAAAAAAAATGCCAGTGCTAAAACTAATAAAGGAAAGCTCTTTATATATAGAAAAATTTCAGAACAATGTGGTAATTAAATAGCGAAAATTTGAGTTAGGAGTATTGGGAATCTATTTGTAACAATTTTTAGCTATTCTAGTCATTAGGATTTTAGCTGGAGATGTTTTCATGTAGCCTTATTGTTCTCATCTAATTAATATTTCTATGGCAGAGAGATAATTAGGTAAATGTGTTGAATATTAAATATGGTAGTAGCTTTGGGGAAAATAAGCATTTCTGGGTCAAAGCCCTTAACAAAATATTGTCATATGTGAGCTGATTAATGTAATTGAATGCCACATTGTTTTGCCACCCTCCAGCCCCACTCTCACAGTCACTCAGTTCATTATCTAAGGCCTTTCCAGAATGGAATGACTGGTTATGTCAAGTTAATGGTGTTCTTTCTAATCTCAGCTACTAATGGAGTAAATCTTGATTAGAGAATCATCCCAACCTCATTAAATGAGCTAAGTGTTAGAACATCCCAAAGAGTCTGTGGCTGAATGTCACATGAAGCATTTTAAATGCTGAACGTGTAGGGTTCTCAGCACCGTCACCCAGTGGCTTCTGTATATTGTTGGCTTGAATCCGTAAGGGGCCATTGAAAACCCTAAAATAGATTCTAAGCTATTCTTGCTCCTTGCTGCCTGTATCTAACACTGAATGCACACACACAAAAAAACAAAAACAAAAAACAAAAACTCAATTTCTAGTCAGACCAGAGAAGTTGAGGATTTTCATCAATCATATTTAGTACAGAGAAATGTTACAATTTGTGAACATTACTGTTCAGTAGCATCCCAGCGTGATAGTTTTCGAATTGTATTCCAAGCTAGCTTAGGGATTCAGAGGTTTTACCATTGTTTGACTTTAATTTCAACTGTTTAAAAACCTGTAATGAAAGACACACACAGTTTCAAATGTATATCCCAAATTTTTCATTAGGATGACCCAGTGATAAATCTGTGCCGCCAGGTTAACTAGTTTGGGGGCAGATCTTAGAATAAAGCTTCTCCTACCTTTTGTGCATAGATTTGAAACTTTTGTAAACAGGACTAGTAGAGAGCATCCTGTGAATGCAGTCTGTGCATGTCCACTCACATTAAGTTATCCAACCAGCCACATTCCCACAGTTTTCTTGTTCTGGACTTAATTTTTGCCGAGCAAAGCCCAGGCCCATCTGTTTGAGAACTTGCTTTTGCCAAAGAGTAATAGTGAGTTAGACCAGTGACTGTGCACATATTACAGTGTGATACGACATAAGTTTAGGCTTATTTGACATTTTAGGTGCCATTTGTCAAATTTATTTTTTAAGAAGAAATATTGTTACTTATCTAAAAATAAATATATTTGAAAAACAATTCCCTTGATACCCTTTTTTTTTTTTTTTGGTTGCTGTTAAACATTACCATTTGCAGCCACTTATCTGCATGGATCAGGATTATCTTGACTTCTGCAACATAAACAAACCATAGAAATAAGTCAACCCTTGCATCTGATATAGGACTGTAGATGTTACCCACAACCTATCAGAGTTCTGTGTTCATAAGCATAGCCTTGCTGTTTCTTATTGATCAACTTTTAAAGAAAATGTTACTGGTTATTTCTAAAGAATTCTGGAATTTTTCCCATCTTCAGAAGGTAGCTGCAGAGTTCTGTGCTGGGCAATTCTCTCTTCCTACACATTTATTATAGATTTTGGAGAGTATACAAGTTCACTCACTAGTCTTATCATTTATTACTATTTCAAATAACTAAAAATTTGATGTCCAGCATGAAAAAGATATGAAAATGAAATCACGTAGTAAAATGAATGTCAAGTTAAGGAGACTAGAGAAAGACGGTTATGGCAAAAGCTTGCTTTTGTATTTGGCATATCGTCTTTTCTGCCGATTTAGAAATTACACTGGAGGTCAGCGTTTGCCAGTTTAGCGTTCCGTATTGTATGTAAGCTGGATTTTTCAAAGAACACTCAAGACAAAGAGGCAATAAAAATGGTACCTGTTCTTCTTGGTCGAAGAGGTAGAAGAGGAATGAGGAAGAAGCGTGCTGTGAGATGTTATTCCTGCTCTCCATTTCTAACTGGACGGAGCTCTGCCTGTCTTCACGCACCAGATTCCCAACTCCTTACAGATAACAGTTGAGAGATAAAGGTGAATGGCCTTGGAGCCTGCTATGTGTCCTCAGGGTTTTATTATCCGTTGTTCTTGCCCGAGACTTAGGTAAATGGCTTTAGAGAGCCTTAATGTATTAGAACACGCAGACTTCTTTCCCTGCAGGACTGGAGTGTAACCCTCAGAAATCTTACAGAACTTATTTCTAAAAGCACGTGATTTATGCATTGGTTTTCCATAACATCTTTATCAACAAATGTAAATGATGTTTATGTGGGGGGGGGAATGACGAAAGTCTATGTTTAGAGACTTGCAATTAAAAAAATAATCTCCTTGCTTGAGGCATTTTATGTAAGGAGTTTTACACATCTTAAATTTAACAAGCAATGTGTTTTGTGGCTAAAATTCCTCTACCTAACCCCTCCCCCACCACCATTTGTCACATGTCTGCCGTGCACACTGTTCTGGACCCTGGATAAGCAATTGCCCTTCTTATCACTGCTTTGCTTACCTAGTGTTGGTTTTCCTTTCTTTGCAGAGACCCTCCTTGATGACTTCCTGCTCACGTACACTGTCTTCATGACAACTGACGACCTGTGCCAGGCGCTGCTGAGGCAATATCCTTCAGTAACTTCAGGAGGCTGTGTCGCCCTCCCGGCAGGCAGATGTCTCACATTAGGAATTAACTGCCATTCTTAATTTACTCAACGCCCCCTGACCAAGTGTGCTCCATATTAGTGTAATGATATCCAAGGTAAAAGGTGAAAGGAGACGGAATAGGCAGGGGGGCCTGGAAATGCAGAGCTGCTGTGTTCACATTCTAAATTGTACTGTTGCTGATGTTTTCTTCATACGTATTAGAAATCTGGAGGCACATTTGGCCTGCTGGGTAAACCCCAGAGTCAAGAGGTTGAGTGAATTGGCAATTAAGTGAACTTACAAGACAATCCGTCAGGGAGCGCCAGACCACTTGGGCAGGAAAGTATACATATGTGATAGCCTGTTTCTGGGCAAGAGTCCCAGGGGAGACAATTCCCCCACATGGGAGGTCTAAACTGCCCCCTGGCATCAGCTGTCTTCTTTTCAGAGCTTTGTCAAGGCATGCTGTTTAGAATGATGGATGTAATTAGAAGGTTAATAACCAGTTAAGGAAGCTTTATGATGTATACACTGAGTAGAGGAGATGCAACAGATGAAAGAGCCAAAAAGCCAAGCCAAGTCAACTTACTCAGTCTCCAGTGTTTCTTGCCTCGTAATGTTTAAGGAAGATGTGTTGGAAGCATTTGAAAGTAGCCTGTTAACTGTCAGGTTTTTATTAAACCAAACTGAAGATTCTATTTGAGCCCACATGAAAATTTTTAGGAAGATGATTTTTTTTGCATGTACCTAAGTTTTATTGAGCCCTAATAATGGTCTTAGTAATTAATGTTCCTTTCCTGTTAAATAATTGTTGCATTCCTCCCCCACCTTACAGCATTTTTTGCTTAAAATAATCCTTTAAAACTCCATAAAGGGCATAATCTCTCTTAATATATAAGCTAGAAGTTGTGATCACTTTTTACTGCTTTACTATATTGTATGGACACACAAAGCTACAGATATCTTGAAACTTTTTAGAACCAGTTCACAAAACTGATCTTGAAACATCACTAGTTAGTTTTGAATTTGGAAAATTTCAAAAACAGATTTATTTCACTGCTTCCAAGTTGGGTGTTACTAAGAAATTTGGCAATAATTGCAAGGTTTTCAATTTCTCCTTCTTTAAAAAAGTTTTGGAAAAATATGAGCTAATTTCTTCTACATTTTAATGCTAACATATTTCCAAAAGAATTATCATCCATTAAATAATATACTTTGATTTATAGCATATTAGATGCCTTTGAACTATTGTTTATAAATATGATCCTAATATTATTTATGATTATCATTGAGCAATTTAATGCCTTAAAGAATTTCCCTAAAGAATCTCTAAATCTTTACTTGGCTATAAACATGTCTTGAGTCTTTGAGTAAGACATTTTATACAAAAATTTAGTTCAAATTCTTAGAGGCCTTTTTACCAATTGTCAAAACTCATGAAATCCAGAACATTTTAACTCAGGAGTCCTTCTACATGACTATTTTGATATATTTGTAGATTCTGTCTTTTATGAAATAATACAAACCACATACAAAAATATGGCATCCATATTTAATATGAGATATTTTGAGGTACATATTAGTGAAGATATATCCTACTACTATCACTATCTAAGAAATAGCCCAAATTATTTTTTGTCTTTCCTCATTTTTTGAACATTATTTATAGATTAGAGTGATTCGTGCTGTGTTTGGATATCTTAGATGAATGTTTTTATTGTAATAGAATTTAATACCTTTCAGTTTTTATCATCATAAAGAACACTATTTAAGCTCACAGCCCTAGGTGAGCTAATGTTCACTACATTACACTTCAGGTATAACTCTCACCTGATACATTCTCACTATTTTGCCTGCCAGACAGCCAGCTAAATTTATGTCAATGTAATTTAGCATTGGCAAAATGTATAAGAATGAATATACCCTGATATAGAAAACCAGACTAACACAAATATAAATTTAATCAGTAAATATTTTTTTAAATACATCTTGTAGGGAGGAGGATAAAATCAAGCAAATAAATGGTAGTAACTGTGAATGAAGAACAGTTGAAGTTTCAGTTTGCCAAATCGCTTTATCTGGCAGGTCCATAATTGTAGAATGCATATGCAGCTGTAGTAAAAAGCTCATCTCTTCACTTACATATGCTGACCTAAAAGAAAGAAGTTGTTAGTATTTCTTAATTTTCCAGATTTTTTTTTTCTTTATATTAGTCAAGCCATGATAGCTACATGAAGCAAAGGAAAGGACATTTGCATAGTGGAGCTAATGTAGGATAAATCTTTATATTTTTACCTTTCAAGAGAAAAACTAGAAGAAATAGATACTTTAACAGAGTCTTTGTGTGTTTGCCTGAGTTTATTTCACAGGTAGAAATCAAAGAGATCCGGTGGCATTAATGTATTTTCGCAGGTTGGGGAGACAGTGACTGAATTATATTTTAAATTCATTACAAAGCCTGATACAGAATTTATTCCTATTTTGCAGTAAAGAATATAGAATCCTCCCCATCAACCCCAAAGCCTACCTGTGTTGGCTATCATAGCATCTCCTATTCCTAGTTAACGTTTCGGTGGGTCCTAGATGCTCAGAAGTGATAATGCGGGGGACAGAAACACTAGGTTGGTTTGGAAAACACCAGGTTTCTTTCTCATTCCTCAGGCTTTAAGCACACTGCCTTTGAGGTTGTTATTTTTATATAATTTAACAGCATAGTTAACACATGGTCATTGTATACAAATTAGGAAATGCTTGTAAGTATAGTAAAAATAATTCACGTCCTCTGAAATCTCATTACCTTGAGAAGGCACTGTTAACTTTCAGTATATCTTTCCAGGTAATGGAATTGTTTATATAAATAAGCAGCTAATAGAAATGGATCCCCTAACACATTCTTTTCTTACTTTCCTACTCAATATATTGTGAGTGTTCCCTGTCAGTAAATGTGCTGCTGGACCATCAGTTTTATGGCTGCAGAATAGCCCATTAAATGGATATGTAATAATTTAGTTAACTATCCTCAATGGTTGAAGCATTTAGGTTATCTGTATTTTATTTTTCCATTCCAGTGAACATGAAAATTAGCAGTCCTTTCTACTTATGTTTGCACATTTATCCAGACCCTTTTTTCAAGTAAATTCCTAGGGGGTAAGCATTTGAAAGATATCACAAATCATGTTCCAGGAATCTGTGCTCATCGGGGGCTACTTTAGGAGTAACTGGTTTTACAGAATTGTGAATTTCTGAGGATCAAAGGGTATTTGGACTAGTTCTCTTCTAACATTTATGGAGACAATGCTTCCCTATATAATGTGGCCATATCTCTTGGAGCCCCCTAGTATCTCTATTAATGGGCCACCTAGTATCTCTTTGAGGTGGCATTAAAAATCCATGCCGCCTATGGAACTAGGTCAGCAGCTGTCAGTGCCATCATCTCACCCTTATCTTCATGGCCTGTCACCAAGTGTACGCACGTCATTTCCCTGGGTTTTCTTTTGTTCTTCAATGTACACCTTTGGCTGTCCCTACACATACTCTATTCTTCCTGTGTGCTTAGAACTTGTAAATTCTTTGGAAAATGTGCTTCAGCAAGAGTAAATGGATCTCTTCATATTTTTATTTTCAACAATGAATATGCTTTCTTAACAATTTGAACCTATTCTGCTAAGAAGTATCAAGGCAAAGAAGAAAACTCAGACATTCCTTGTCGAAAACGTAAGGTCTTACATCTTGTTTCCCAGTGGATTTCTCTGTACAAAGACTGGTTACATGAAGATGAACATTCCAAAATGTTTTTGAAGGTAATGTGAAACATCCAGATGTTTTTTGATGCCAAATGACTGGTTTTATTTTCAGTTATGCATTTCAGAAATCTCATTTGTAGGTTGCAGTCATTCACATTTTTATAGTATTCAAGTTGAGATGCAAACAAAGTATTAATTTGTTTTGGCTTCTGAGGCCTGATAGTCCTTAGATAGATAGAATTTTTGTTTAATTTTAGACAATTTATTATGAACAAATGTAGAGAACAAATTTTACATTCACTAATTTAAGGTTATTTTATATGTCATGAGAAGTTTGATTGCAAAAGAAATACTTATGGAAAGTAAAAAAACTTGATACTATTTAATGTGTTGAGATTTATAAATATGAACTAGACAGTCTCATTTATATAAGATTTGCATAAAATGTTATTTATCATTTAAAAGCTATATTGACAATATATACATTGTGAAACTTTTTAGGACATCGTGTATTTTGAGAATTTTAAGCAATAATAACTTGTAATACTACCTTAGATTTACGTTTGGAATTAGATAAACTTATATATTTTTCTAATCAATAATAGGCTGCAGTATGTTTTCAACACAGATGATTCTCTGGCGATGATTTGTAGATCGTTGGATTCCTTTAGCCACCCAAGTCATATTAGCTGTGCAGGTTAACACAGAGAAGGAATAGAATCGGATTCGAGCAAGGAAGAGTTCTAAATATTTCAGAATAGGCAAGTGTCCAAACTGATTTGGCCTTTTGTGAAGGAAATCACTTTGAATTAAAACTTGAGATATCATTTAGATATCCAGTTAAAAAACATTTAACCAACGCTTTGACTAAATTAATGTTATTTTCAAAACAACTGGGTAATTTAATTCAGTTGATTTTTTTTTTGCCCTCCCAAATGATTACGTGGATATCATTTTTAAAAAAATATAGACTAGGCATGGAAATCTGGAGTAGCTGGTCAAGGATTGTCTAGATTTCCAGCATTCCGTACCAGTAGCCCCTAGAAACTGCGAGGGAGCCATGCCAGTTGAGTGAGAGGCTAGAGGTGTAATCCCACTCAGGACCTCATTGGTACCTGAGTTAACCGCCTGCATTGTCCTGGATTCCACCTATTTTACTGTGCAGGTTAAGCATCGTATGAGCCTTCATCCTTACGAAGTAGGGATTAAGCCTGTTCAAATGCCGTTTTTCTTTTGTCCCAAGACCATATACAGGAACGTACTAGATGATGTATATGAATATCCAATACTTGAAAAAGAATTGAAAGAATTTCAAAAGATACTTGGAATGCACCGTCGTCAGTAAGTATATAATTTTCCATAATATAGTTAATAAAAGAAAGTAGCAAATGTGATAGAATTTGGGATGTATCTTGATTCTTTTGCTTTTCTAATAGTAAATTGTGTATTTTGTCTTTATATCTCAAAATGAATGAATATTAAATCAAGCTTATTCACTATTTTTTTAACCGTATTTGACACAAGAGGAACAAACTGAGCCATGACAAGCGGGGTACTAAAAATAATCATTTAATAAATTATCATTTCATTTTAAAAATGTAAATATTTAACTTGTAATTTTGGGGGCTCATAGCTTTCTCTAATGGAATAGGGGAAAATGTTTTATAAATAGGTCCCAGCAAGTCATGGAGTATATTAAAAGCTCAATTTTATGGACTCTCTGAGGTTTCTTTATCAATTTAAAAAGATTAAAGGAAACTATTTACTCAGTAACCTTTGGCAAGTTCAAATATACATCAGGTATCTATCATTAGTCTTTCAAATTGTCAGTACTTGACTTTATTCTGATTATACTAATTCTCATTAATTTTGGTAAATGAAAACATCAAGTCATTGTTGGGTTTTCAGGCATAGCTGCAAAGTTAATCTGAAGGGGGAAATTGTTCTCTAATTTACAATGTAGTTTCTACTTAGCAAACACGAAACACATCTGTTGTCAAGTTGTGAAAAATTTCTGTTAAGATTTCAGCAGTCACAAATGCACGTCTCATAGGAAACGTTAATTCAGGCCTTCTAGATTACGGATTTGAGATGTAAAGCCTAACTTATTTTTGGAAAGGGAGATCCTATTGCAAATTAAATGTCTATATAATTTTAGGGAGCAAAATACATCATATGTAAGCATTACTCCTCAATGATGAAAATCACACGTTTAGAAAGTAAAAAATGAAGTACAAGTTAGGACAGCATATTAAAATGAATGTTGTGAATTTTGCTGGCCTTTTGATAGCCTAAGACTAATGAAAATATGAACAAATAAGTGAAACAAAAAAGAAAGACAATCTTTATATCAAAATAATCCCCCACGTGGAAGTTGGTCTACGCTGTAGGCAGGCCTTATTACTGTTGGGAACCTTTGGTTCATGTTTATACACTTAAATGCATTAAATATATTAATGGAATTTAATACATTCCATTAAAAACTTACATAAAAATGGGAAATAATAGATTCAAATGAGAAAATGATAAAAGACATACTCTTGCCTCTTTGATACCGCTCTGAAAAAGATGCACTTTGGCTGACATATTTAGCTATCTGAATAACACTAATTTCACCTAAAATCTATCACTCTATGAGAAAACTTAGAATTTCTGTGTCTTAAATCCAGTTCTTACCCCAATGCTCACTTTCTGTGGGTAGAAAGCGAAGTATACCATTAAATAGATAGCTTCTTTTCTTCCTGGTTCACTTCAAATCCAGAGCCCAAAGTCAAGTGTGGTCTACATTGTAAACTAATGAATGCTGTGTTTGATCTTTCGGAAAAGCAAAAGCGCCCCCCCCCCCCCCCCCCCCCCCCCCGGTACCTGGAAATTAGTCTTCTGTGATAATAACTGCCTTACTCTAGGTTCGGAACAAAGACTGACTTCTCATTCTTATCCTTTCAGCACTGTAGATGAATACTCACCACAAAGGAAGGTAAGGCAGAGCGTTCTCTTTCTGAAATGGGGCGATCCCTTTTGGAGTCCTTGCCTTGCCGCGCTCGGCATTTCTTCCTAGTTAAAAGGAACACAGCCTCAGGCAGGACAGGGCACGGCCTGCCAGGAAGTCTGGGGTACATACAGCTCGCCTACCCTTTCCTGCATCATTTCACTTTCCCTGTGCTGGTACAGATTCCACTTCAGCCCTGTGTCCTTGGCTTCCTCACATTCTGCATATTTTGTGGTGCCTTTTGGAGTCTCAGAGTCCCCAGAGTGATACAAATTTGAATTTTAAACATTGATGCAAAAAAAATGAAAAGAAAAAAAAAAAATCCAGGCAAGAAACTTGACTACAAGAGTAAGAATGTCTTATCAGAAAAAGGTTTGCACTTTCAACCCAACAGAAAGAGATATGGTAGCGAGAATGAGTGTGTTTCCTATTCAACTTGAGGGAGGGAATGCACGATGAGGCGCCGGGCGCAAGTTTTGTAGAAGCTGACATAGCAGGTGGATAATCATAATGAGTAACATACCTGTTTCCCTTAAGAAAGTCATCGTATTGCAGCAGAAGTGTGAAACCATCTCAAAATTGCTTTATCCAAAAGCAAGGTTGATGTTAGGATAGGGAGATCAATTTTTTTTTAGAAGAATTTGTGGATGTTTGTAGTAACCGGATATTCTCCAGCATGTTGCATGGAATCGGGCATCTTTGTCTGATGCTGACCTTGGCCAAGGTCTGTCATGTTGCTCAGAATCTCCACCTCCACACGCATTAATGGAGGCCACTCCCAGTGTATCACTCTAAGATTGGATGGGTGGGTTTCATATTTTTAAAAATGGAAATTGGCTAGCTCTTTTGGAACATGTTGTAAACAGCTGTGGTTTTCCAAAGGGCAGGAACACATTGATTCATTGTCCTCTTTCTCCCTTCTCACAGAATAAAGCCCTTTTCCACCAATTCAGTCTTAAGGAGAACTGGCTCCAGCATAGAGGAACAGTGACTGAAACAGAGGAGAGTGAGTATGATTTCAAGAAGGATTTGGCATAGGTGGAACAGCAGTTAGTCACCATCCTTCTTCGGCGTTAACGCGTCACCCTGCCTTCAGCCATTTCCAGCTGTCACTCCCCTCTAACAAGTACTTTAGAATAAAAAATGATGGGTTTTCTTTTCTTGCTTTGGGTGTTCCAGTTTTCTTGGTCATGTAACAGTGTCCCGGGAACCAAGGCCATTTTTAATTCGGGAAATTAGGAAAGAAGACTGCAGGGAGCCTTGTGCGTTCTTGGGGAGAGGTGCAGGGTTGCCGGGAAGCACAACCTTTCCCTCTGGGTCGGACTCTCCCCAGCTCTGTGTGTCCATTGCCTCTCACTAACTGGAAAGTCCATTAAAGCACATTTAGGGAAGAAATCTTAGAATAATGAGAGGAAGGAAGTGCTTCAAGGCAAGGTTCTGCCAGGCAGTGCCCCACATCCAGTATGTGCTCAGCCATTGCCCATCAGTGCCCACAGGGGCCGTGACCCCCCGGGAAGATGGGGAAACGCTTTGTTAGTACCCAGAAAGTGCTGGCGTGCTTTCCTTTGGTAATATTTTGTAACGGAACAGATAATGGTTTTCTCCTGTTTGGATAAAGATTGAGTCAAGGGCCGAGCCGGGAAATACTTCGAGCAATTAAAATGTTCACACTATTGTCATTCAGAGACTTTCTCTTTTAACTCTCCTTTCAGTAAGAGCTGAAATTCTAAGTGTGAACATTTAATATTTGCTCAACTTCTTGAGCACTTAATGAAATGTCAGCAGCATGCGTCTTCTGTTATGTTGTTTGTATATAACGCTGCCCACGGTGGTGCTGCTGTGTTATAAATGGCGTCTGGACCCCGTGGAAGAGCAGTGATCCGACCTCCTAACTCCTTACCTGCTGATCTTCCTTGCCTATTTGTCTTACAATTTAATTGTGCCATTTTCCAAGCTGAGTTCCAAAGAGTGATTATTTCAAGGCCCCAGGCCTCTTTTTGTTCATCAGCTGGTTAAGCAAGGTATTGGGTTGTCAGAAAAGTCATGACGCATTTTTGCAACGAAAAGCATAGAAAAAATACGTCATGACTTTTCTGACAACCCTATAAACTTCCATCACATTTAGTGGTTTGTAGATCAGATCTTTGCCTTGCTCAAAAATTCCATTTTTCTATGGAAGGAAAGAAAGCCTTTTTGTCTCTCCCAAGTCTGTTGACCACATATAAAGCAGCCATTTGTTAGTTGCTATTGATTTAGTGGCACACCCAACCAAACCAAAACAAAAAAAGCAAAATACTGTCAGTACCCCCTAGTGGCATGTTTACTTTGAGGTTTGTACTTGTAAACTCATAGTTTGTCTTTTACTTTATTTGCATTTCTGTGAAAGCATTCCTGGGTTTCTTTTTGTGGTGCTATTTAAATTGCATATGAAATTTCTCTAACAGCTGCACTCGTATTTTTTGTAACATATAAGAGAATACCTAAGTATATTGTTGTCCTGTCTTTTCTAAAGAAGGTAATGTTTTATTGTTCAGAATGGCTGATATAAGAGGCAAATCATGTGTCAGTTATCTCCATTGCTATTAAAACAGTTTCTGCTATCAAATAATAAAGAAAAATTTTTCCAGGACCCATTTACCCTGCTAGTAATAATGTCCTAGTAATAATTATTAGCATCACAGACAATAAAAAGGAAATTAAAATGGCTTGAAATGTGACCTCTATTTGGAAACTAAATTCACGACCACCTTGATGGGAGGACAGGGGTGGGGGAGTCATTCTTAAATGATTATGAAGGCTGAACACAAAAACCACAGCAAATGACAGATGTTTAGATAAGATTCTGAGAATTCTGGTAATGAAATGTGGTCTTCTTGATTGGGTCCCTGTGATTGTCCAGAAACGGAGAGTACATAAAAATGTATGAGTTAGACATTTTAATCTACTGCTTTGGGAGATCTCAGTAACCCTCAAAGAAGGGACTCAGAAGGACAGTACATGTTTCACAGACCCCACTGTGTTGTGGTCAGGCTGTCTCAACTGTCAGCATGCACTTGCGTGACGTGGGTCTCTCATTACGGTGTGGAACGCCTAAGCACCACCAGGCTGGCTCACCAGTTTCTAACATCTGTATCTCCTGTGTGTGCAAGCACACATTTGTATGCATATGGCCTCAGGTGCCGATGTGCCTACATAAATATGTAAATCTAGTTGTGGATGTTTTATAATAATGAGAACAGGGAGGTGGGTGGGTGCCGGGATTTGGACAAGTCTGTACCTCGTAGCCACAGTTTTCTGTTTACTAACAAGTCTCCTGTCTTGTGCAGTTTTGTGCCACGTGTATATAACGGAGCACTCCTATGTCAGTGTGAAGGCCAGAGTTTCCAGTACAGCCCAAGAGATCCTGAGAGTTGTGGCCGAAAAGATCCAACATACAGAAGAGGACCTGGCTCTGGTGGCCGTCACATTCTCTGGGGGTAAATTATTTTCTGTCCTTGAATATTCATCTTTCCCTGGCTCTCTTCCAAAAGGAGAGAATTGACATTTTTATAGAGTAAACGTGCAATGCGTCCCTTCTGGGTCTGCAGCTGGATGACCACAGTAACAATGGGAACCCGCCTACCAGAGGTGTTTCCATGACAACAGTTGGGGACTGTTGGATACTGAATTTCCTCCCCAAGAACTGAATAGAGAGGCACGCCAGTGTTTTGAAATATCTTATAAAGCTTTTCATATTTTGTACTCTAGATAAGCCTTTTATTTTCATATTTAAATTAACTTGGGAAATTGCTAAAAGATGAAATTACTTTAGGAAGAAAAAAAAAAGAAAGACAGCCTTGAACTAGTCATTTGCTGGCTGACGATTTAATACTTAAAGACTCCCTACTGAAGGAAATAAAAACTGTACAATAAGCCGAAAGCTCACATGCAGTGCTTCTTCAGGTGGACATGGGGCATAAAGCCTGGTTATAGCTTTTCCTTCTGTTGGGCCTTATTTATCCTCAGAGAATGGTTTATTGTCTGTTTTGAATAAGATCACACAGATTCCACGCTGACACTATTGATCTGTGTGACCTGAACAAACCTCTTGGTTTTCACCAGAGCCTGTCAGATCGCAGTGTCACGGGCCTCCCTTTTGGTCTACAATCTTTATTTAATATCTCATTAACCCTGAGAAAAAGACAAAGCAAGTGACTTAGCATCAGTTGTTGAAAAATGGGAGGACTATGTGAGCTAATCAACCAGAGGTGGGGCTGGTGGGGTAGGAGGAGCAGATAACCGGAGAGCTCCTTTACCCTTTGTTATCATTCTAGAGTTAGGAGGGCAATATCAGAATTTACCTTGACATGAGAGCTTTATGTGACAGAATACCGCTTCTATTGCTTTGTTCCTCAGAGCCAAGTAAAATGGTCCGACAAGCTAGTCAATTACACATGCAAAGAGATATAGCCCTTCTCTCTAGGCCTAATAAATGAGTCTCTGCTCCGTCTCCCAGGGCCCTCCGTGTGCACCCCATGAAAACATGAGCTAGAAAAAAAAAAAGCAAACATTTGAGAAACATGTGGATTACCGGAATTTTAATCAGAGAGTGGTTGAATTTTCAATAAATTATTTCAGACATTTCCAGATAGAGAGGAGAAATGTATTTTACATTTAATTTTAAGGGACCAAAAATATTAAGTGATTCAAAACAATATTAAGCTTCATCAACACCAACATTTTCCTCTCAAGACAGTACCTCTACAGAAAGTAATCCCTGGGTCCCCGTTCAGATGGAAAGTGCTTAAGAAGAAAGAACCCTGAGTGAACTTGGTAGCACAATGGAGACCCAGCTCCTTTGGAGGATGGCCTAGGGCCACAGGTGAATCTGGAAATTAATGAATGGTTCTTTTACTACCCAATATCTATTTGAGTGCCATGAAATGCCATTGTTACACTCTATTAAATTGGATCCATCAGGGTGGGCAGTGGCATTTTAATGTGTATAGACTCGTGACTAATCATCATTAGAATTATCAGCTCATCTCTTGAATTATCCCACAGATTTGGAAATGTGCCATCATTTTCTATCAATTCGTAGTTTTGTCTGCTAAAGAGTCTTTCTGCCTACAGCTTGATATCCCCCAACCAATAATGTGTTTATAAAGAAAAAATAAAAACAGAGCTTAATGTGTATTCCTTGCTCCAGTTCCATAGTTTTCACTAAATAATGTTTTAAATGCTACTTCAAAATGAAATGACAATGAGATCTACTGATATTTTCTTTTTGTCAAAAAAGTTTAAAGATATTGGCAATTTGTAGGTTTTGTGGATTTCTCTAAAAAGTCTGGTACTGTTATCCTCGGAGCTCTCAGTAGGTTTCCAGCTGTTTTGTACCCAAGGTGGGGGTATATGTATATAGTAACAGCAACCTACCTACAATTATTCCGAGCTTAAAATTCTATCAGCTTTAATCTTTTACAGTGACAAACCTGAAAATAAGAAAAAAAATTTTTTCTTAGCAAATGGAAAAATGACTGTCAGAAAGCCATGACATTTTATTCCAAAGGAAGTGTTGAATGGCGCTCATAGATTCCACTTTAAGGTAGACAGGGGCACACAGAGGGTTACAAGAAATTATAGCTAAACAAAGAGGGAGAAGACGGAAGAACGTCAGGGCCCAGTGGTGGGGGACCATTTACTCCAATGTCAACAGCTCGACCTGACGGCACTATTGATCTTTATAATGCTGGGCCATAAAAAATACATTAGATTATCATTTGTGTGCTCTGTATTAAGCAGAAATGTTCAAAATAAAATTTGGCATTTGAACTGATTAAGTTATCTAGAAAAAGATATGTAGACTATCACATTTCCCAGCCATGCTGGATAACTGAAGGGCTGCTTTAGGAGAAGCTGATTATATTACAGTGGAATAAACTTGAGTATTACTTTAGTTGATTCCCATCTGTGTTTTGTAGTTAGGAGGAGGACATTTTTCTATGAAGAAGGCTATTGTGTTATAAGAGAGCTCCAACAATGGCAGAAAAATGGTCAAAGGATAGGGACAATTTGCACTAAGGGTAATAAAACGGAAAAAGAATGTATGAAAAATTTCAGCTTCACTGGTAGTCAAAAAATACAAATTAGACTGCAAATATGTTTTTGGTTTTAGTGAAATATCAAACTTACCAAAAGTAATGATCAGTGTTGGTCAGTTTAAGAATCAGAAAGCAGTTTTGACAGTTTGCATCAAAACTTTAAAGATATTCATTCCCTTTGATCCAATAATTCCAGTCCTGGGACTCTTAAGAAAATCACCTAGAAGCAGCCAAAGATTTATACACAAGGATGTTGGCTTCAGCAATATATAATATGGCTGCTATAATAATAAATCCAATTTATCAAGCCCTGTGTGTGCCAGGGCCTATACGAATATTTAGCAATTATCTTGCCATCTAATTTATATGACAGAAAAAAATTGGAAAACATTAAATGTTCGACAATAGCAGAAAGATTAGTGATGGTATAATGGACTGTTATATAACCAATTAAACATGACATATATAAATAATTTTGACAAGTGGGTAAGTGCTTATAATAAAATCAGAATGTGAAAGTACATATGGGATAATTTCAAATATATATGTGTTCATAATTATGTATTCACATGTATAAATAATTGCAACTATACGTATGTGTACACACACACACACACACTATTACATAAAGTTTAGAACAAAGTATACCCAAATGTTAACCAATATCACCATCATATGGTTATCTTATAGTGATAGGATTATGAGTAGATTTTACTTTCTTCCCTAAACTGTTCTTTGTTCTAAAGAATGACTAAATATTATAAGAAAGGATCACAAGTAGATTCCACTTTACGGATAATGAGCAGTGATGTGCATGGTCCCACTGGTGTCATTGTACAGAGTGTGCAGAACTGAATTAAATCTACTTTACATCCTATTCACTTGTAAATATTTTTCACTAGCAAGTTTCACTCTTTAGATGTACCTTGTGTGCCTACTGCTATTCTTGTGTTTCTAATTACTCTTTTTTTTTTTTAAATAAAGAAAAGCATGAACTTCAGCCTAATGACTTGGCCATCTCCAAGTCCCTGGAAGCTTCGGGCCGGATATATGTCTACCGGAAGGACCTGGCTGATACTTTGGTGAGGACCTTTAGCCTTGTACTTGAAGCACACAGACACAAATGTCAGACTAAAAACTTACTTTAGTATGTTTTATAATGAATATTACAAAAATACATGGAACTATTTCCTCCTCTAGCCAACAATGCACTTGTCAAATAACACTTCTTTTGCAAATCAAAGACTCACAACTTGAGGAATTCTAAACCCTTCCTAAGTCAAACTGTGTTTCTCTCTGAGCCCCTGAAACAGGGAATTGGAGAGAAGTGACTCCCTCTCCAATGGAATCTTAATTCCATTCCTTCTTTTCTTATGGAATATCTGGAGGTCAGGCTGAGAAACAGCACCCTGTGTAGATTTAAGGGGAAAGAGACTGTCCTTTGTTTCTGTCCATTTGATGCACTTTGAGGGTACCCTTCCCTTGAAGAAAGGGTGGCCTTTCCTGTGTGGGATGGGCTCATAACAATGTGACATCAGATGCCACTCAAGAGTAAGAGTTTGAAGAAATGTAGAACCCATACTGTAACTTATTTTCAGTTCAAATTTAAGACCATTTACAGCAAAGTAGATGACTTGTTTCTAAAGACCTCCGTCTTGCAGTTGCTTTCCAAATGGTTGGATCAGGCCTCAGGTCCATCGCCCATAAAAAGCAGGCTTTATCAGATTGTGATTGTATCATCTAGACTCATGGCCCTAGTCTGTTTCATGGAATTGTCACTGGGCTGGGTCTTTCCAGCTGGCTCCTGTTGTATATATAATTGAGGAATGTACATATAATGGAGGAATGTGGGTAAACCAAAGCTGCTCATAATAAAAATATTTTATGCTTATAATAAAAAAATTATCTACAGGATCTCAGGCTATCATAATATTAGTTGCTGTCTTTTTTTTTTTTTTTTTTTTAGCTGAGCCAGGCAGCTCAGCTCGGGCTGGGAATTGAACCGGCGACCCTGTTGCTCAGAGCTCACACTCTTGAGTGAGCTCTTAACCAACTGAGCCACTCGGCAAGTCCAGTTGCTGTCATTTTTTATACTTGTTACCAAACACGTATGTGCTGAGTAATTCAGATACAGTATCTCATTTAATATGCCCAAACACCCTGTGAAGGTTGGAGAGGCTAAGCAACTTACTCTAGCTTCCTACTGCCAAGTAGGGGATAGTGCTACCATTTCAGTCCAATTATATATGACGCTGGAGCACCTTCGCATTTCTTTCACTTGGACATGATGAGGGAGAAAAGCAGAGGGAAACCTTTTGTCTGACTTGTGCCTTTCTGGCTCTGAGTCCCCTTCAGCAGGAGATGTAATTCTACGTGATGTAATTCTGTCAGTGAAACATGACAAACTGGATGTTGCACAGCGACTCTGAGTAAATCATGAGATTGATTTGACTTCACCTTTCCCCATGGAGGAGGACGATCTAACATGTAGCAGCTGTGGGCGCCTGGTGATGGAGGGAACCCGCACTCTACCCCCTTCTCCACCCTCCTCCCAGTGCCACACAGGCGTCTCTGGCAGATCCCCGGATGCATGCCTGGCGTGCTCTCCTCCGCCGTCTGGGGCCAGCGTCAGCAGAGTAGAAGGCAGGCCTGAGGCAAGGGCTTATGGAATAAGTGGGTACCATGCCGTATGTTCCTGCCCTGAGTACTTCCCCCACCAACTTTGCACAGCACCTAAACCTTCCCCACTGGAATGCTGGCTTTAGGTATTTCATCTCCAAAATAGTGCAGTTGAAATGGAACATTGTTTAAGGGAAGGATAACACGTGACACCACTAATATCTACTATACTTACATATAGATGAGTTAATCTTGGAAAACAGGAATTAGAGCCGTGAATGAATGGGATGGAGGCATATAAAGTGTTTCTTGGGTAGGGTGGTGCCAGGGTAAGGGGCATATTTAGAGAGAGAGTAGGAGAGGTAAAAGGCTAAGTGAAAATGTCCCTACACCACCAAATGAGTAAGCTGAGATTTGTGTTACTTCCCATCCCATGGCTCTCCCTTCAAATGCCTGCAGTGCAGCATGGTGCCCGTCTGGTCCTAGCCCAGCCAGACTGATCCCTGAGAAGCCGTGGCTTGTTCCCCACTGCAACACCTCAGTATTAGCACACGAATTCATTCTGTCTGCCCTTACTGAGCTCTACCCTATATCCCACTCTGGGGACACAGGGACAATTTATACCTTGACCTGCTCTGAACAGAATCAAGTCTGTGGAAAACCTCTCTGAAGGTCTTCTATCATTCTTTTTTTTTTTAATTAGGAAAACTTTTCATAACTGTAAAAATTCTAAAATGCAAATAATTTATTTTACAATTTAGAAATAGAGATGAATATTTGAAATCTGAAACATTCCCTTTATCCTGCTTTGTCATTATTTTTGCAAAGCCCATTCTTTTATTTCCAAGTCATTAGCTATTCTAACATTATTAACTATTTAAGCCCAATCCTTCAAACGGGAGCATTTATATTTTAACTAGTAAATAGCAAATATTTTGAAAAGATGCCAAATAACTTTTAATACATTTAAAAGTGACAGTAGATTTAAAGTTGTGGTGGCATTTAATAATTTCATGGCAGATTTTGCGGTATTACTGTCACCAAACTGATACCTATTTATTTGTGTAGGGAAAGCAATAGCTATTTAAAATAATCATCCACTGTGGGGATCACTTCTACTGTGGGGTATAAAGGAAGCAACTTTTATTTTTTTATTTCATGTTTAAATGTTCTTTTTTGCTTTCCTCGAGCACTTTAATAAAATGTGTAAACGTGTGTCTGGGATGAGACTTGTTAAACATATTTCCTGTAAAAGCCATGTCTGTCTTTATTGAAAGTACACCATGACATTTCTTTTGTTTGTTTTTGTACTTACCCTGCTGGCACATTAATTCTTACCAGAAGCCCAAGTGGTTTCAGGGCTTTCGCTTTCATTATGCTGTCTGCCTGGGCAGTGTTTTATAATCAGATTTGTGCGTGCATGTATGGGGAAGTGGGAGGGGTAGGCTAACTCATTGATCACATTCTACTGTTTCCAAGGCTGTGTCCTAAATTGGCTGTAACTCACTGAAGGTGAACAGACCAGGGACAATATTAAGTGCCCTCAGACAAGATTGCTTTTTCTAATCGGGGCTTCAGGAATTACTGAGGACCCTTTTGCTTCTGTCGATTTAGAACCCATTTGCAGAAAATGAGGAATCACAGCAAAGGTCGATGAGGATTTTGGGAATGAATACTTGGGATCTTGCTCTGGAATTAATGAATTTTGACTGGAGTCTCTTCAATTCAATTCACGAGGTAAGGAAGGAGTGAAAAGATCAAATAAACGCTAGTGGTATTCTAACTTAGAATATTTCTTTTTGAAGAATATGTGTGACTAAGTTTTTTAAAAGATGGTGCTATAGTTATGCTGTGATACCATGGTCTAGGTAGATATTTGGGGACTCTAAACATATTGAAAGACTGACCCAGTCCTAGGAAAATCAGAATACATGATCATGCTTTACTTGCTCCTAGTACATGTGTTTATATAAGGTAACACAAGCAGGCCACGTTTTTCTATGTATATGTGCGTGTGTATATGTATTATGTATATATATATATAGGTATATGAAGTTATAATGGGGTTGAAGAGCCACTTTGCACTTGACACCTTTCATATTGATATTTTAAGTTTTCCCATGAAGTTTACAATAGTTATAACCAGAATCATTCATATTTATGTGTATATATTGTGTATATACACACACACATGCGCGTACACAACACACCCATTCTTTCACTGAAGAACAGCCTAGAAATAGTGCTGCAAGACTTCAAGCACTTTCTTGATAGTTTTGAGATATATTTCAAATGTTTATGTCCATCAACTTTTCCCTTGAGGACAGCTTATAACACTTCTGAAACAATAGATTATGGGCAAAATGCTACTGACAATGAATAAATTAAGCCAATGGAGAGGCTCACATGAATCAGAAGATGAAAAATGTGACAGCTCTGTGCAACCGTATGTTGCATTTGCTTAGTCATGTAGTGAAATTTTTCACTGTGGAATGACCTTTCCTTGTGAAGAAGGAACTCATGCCCAATGTAGAAATTCCTGAGCTTCACTTGCATTTTGGAATATCTTTTAAATTGACTCATATTTTCTCATTAAATTTCCAATATGATCATCTAAATTTGAGCAAGTAGTGAACTCATTCTAGCTAAATGACTTACGGCTTTGGAAATGTTAATGGAATGGGATGTATCCCTGCTTACGCAGTGCGAGAGTGTTGAATTACTTCTGTAAAATACACACACATACACACGCACACACACACACACATACACACACACACACACACACTCCATTTAGAAACAAAAATCTCTTGCTTTACATACGACCAATTTATATATAGTGAATAGTTACTAGTCTTATTTGCTTTTGTATATTTTGGACCTTGACCTAATGTCACTCTTTCTGTTTATGATTTGATACTGTCTTTATCAGCGGTTCCCAAAGAGTGGGTATCCAGACCCACATCATCAGCGCCACCTGCAAACTTGTTAGAAATGTGCATTTTTGTCCTTACCACAGACCAACTGAATCAGACAGTTGGGTGGGGGTTAGGGAGGAGACAGAAGTCCTAGCCTCCAGGTGATCCTGATTCACACTAAAATGTGAGAATCCTTGTCTAGGAAATCTACCTGTGAGGCTGTAATGTGTGTCTTAAAAAATACTTAGTAATAGCTTTTCATTTACACTGGAATTTGCCAATATAACAAGTTTAGGACATTTGGATTTGATTCAGCCTGTGATTTAAACTTTAGACCGTCTTAGAATTTCATGGAAAGGTGTCATCCCTACATTCCAAAAAAGTACATTTATATAAGGAGCCTAAGTGACCATTATTTAATGAGGCATCTCTAAAACTAAAGATAATTTGTTTTGAATTTAATGTTTATTTGTTATATTCTTGTAACATATTATGAGAGTGGTTACCTGACACAGCTCTTAAAAATGGACTGGATTTTGTGTCAACTTGACTTTGTGCTAAAAAATGAATGCTGGCATGAATACATTTTCTTTCAGCAAGAGCTGATCTACTTCACGTTCAGCAGACAAGGAAGTGGGGAGCATACCGCGAACCTCAGCCTTCTGCTCCAGAGATGCAACGAAGTCCAGCTCTGGGTGGCCACGGAGATTCTGCTCTGCAGCCAGCTGGGCAAGCGAGTGCAGTTGGTGAAGAAATTCATCAAAATTGCCGCTCAGTGAGTTTCTAATGGTGAAAAGTCCAGTTCCTCTGTTCTTCTTGCGAGAGCACATTTTTTTTGCCCCTTGTGATGATAAAAGAAGGGTTGGGATGTAAAAGGGTAATACTGAGTTAAGTGACCAAATGATTGAAAAGGTCTGTTCGTGAATATTTATGTCTTTGCATTTGAAGCAGTTATATTTTAAAGTAAACGTCAAAAGACCAGACTGAAGCAGCCTGCTCTGTGGTGAAGCGCTAATAAGCAGGCGGTGCACACATGCCCCACCTGCAGCTAAATTACAATGTGGCTGTGTGAGCTACATACGGTAGGTAGGCGAGGAAAACAGGGGCGGTGATGGGAGGAGGTAAGAATCATTGACACTCAGGTGTGTTCTAGGATTCTGCTCTTGGCTCCTTGATGCCCACAGTGTGAACTTGGCAAACTCCTTTGCAGGCAGGCCCTGCCCTGGCTGGGCCAGCTTGCCTCTGAGCCTCACCCACTGAGGACACCCTATGCTGCAGCCACTCTGAACGGTTGTCTCTTTCCCATGAACACTATCCTTAAGTCTGGACATGTGATGTTGTGTCTGCCAAGAACGGCCCCTTCCATCCAGCAGATTGCTGTCATTCTTTAAGACCTAGGTCAAACATTGCTTCCTCCTTGAAGCCATCTCTGATTTTTCAAATGCAAGGTCAGCTACTCCCTAATTCCCCCCCCCCAGACCCCCAACACACACACACACACGCACACACATTCTTTTTTCCTTTTTTTTAAACTTCATTATTATATTTATTAAACTTATTTGTTTATATAGGATTCCTTCACTGGGCTGTGTTAGGCTCCAGAGAACAGGAACCAATACTAATTCATCATTGTATCTGGGTGCCTGATACTCCACATAATAAATACTGTTGGTTGAATGGCATTTTAGTAACTTGCTGGGAGCATCTCTTAAAATACCAGGTTAGCATCTGAGACTGCTCTTCCCAACAGAAGCTGGCAACAGGAATCAAAATCTTTCCCTGTTCCTCTACCTCCTAGTCTTCCCATTTTATTTCTCCTTTGTCTTCCAAAATGTGTATCAAACAGTTTTTGAGTACATGACAGTGTAATGTATTCAGTCAGGAAATATGTGTTGATCACTCATATGTACAGCTCCATGCAAGGTTCTGTGAGGAAATCAGACTGAGCCTACTCAGACCCAGTCCTTGTCTTCTAGGAGTTTGCAATCGGCCACCTAGAACGCAAATGGCTAATGTGCAAAATAGAGGTGGGGGGGGCGGTGCCCTATTAGGTCAAATTCTATTGGGAGCTTTCGAGGAGGGGAACTCATATGCCAACGATGAAAGAAAGATTCAAAAAACATTTGTGGAAGAAGTACCTCTGAGGCTATATTTGAATTCTGGATAGAATTTGACAAGTAGGAATTCAAAAAAGCATATGCTCCATGGGGGTCAAACTCTAACTAGAGAAGAGAAGCAGAAAAGCTCATTGGAGGCAGAGGAAGCCGGAACTGAGATCAGAGTTGTTCCTCGGGAAAGACAGAGCTGTGGTCTGAGAAAGTAACCTCAGCCAGTTTGGCCTGAGTGGAGGGTGTTTGTAAGGAAGTGGTGGGAGGTTGATCTGCAAAGGAAGATGGGACCAAATTGTACAGGATGTTGAATTTCAGATGAAGAGTTTGGGCTGCATTGAGAAGGCAATAGGGATTCACTGAAAGTTTTTGTGCAGGAAACTGGTGATGAGAGTTGTCCCTCAGGAAGTTTGATCTGAAAGGAGCACATAGACTAAACTGTAGTCAGGAGACCCCAGAAGCAGGATATCTTGTGTACTTCGATAATGGAAGTACCTGACTTGTTGTTTGGTGTGACTGGAATAGGAGGAGAAGTACATAACAGATAAGCCTAAATCTTGGACTTCTTGTATGGTAAATGCTCCTTTTATTGATTTGGCTAGTACATTCCATAATAGACTGTGAAATACCTAGATGTAAGGCTCTTTTGGATCAAAAACATTCTTATAAATGCCAGTTACTTGGAGCAGTGGGACATTAATGTCCCAAGGAGTAAAATGACACCACACAGCTCTGTTCCCAGTATAAGATTATATCTATTCCTCAGGGAAATGGAATCTATTCACATCTTCCCCATCTGAGCCCATGACCTTCAATTATTTATGGTGCTGGTCTCTATCCCTCTCCCTAGCCCATAAACTAGAATGCCAACAGAAATATAAAGTTAAATTCCTCATAATCACACTAGTAGGAATAACCAAGGGAAAACAGTAATTTCCATGATCATGAAGTGTTCCCCCCCTCCCCCGCAGCCTAAGGCATCCTATTTGCATATTCATGTTTCCCTTCCTTAGCACTATCCCCATCCCCCACCTTGGTGGTTGAGTGGATTTTACTTTCTCACACAGACAAAGGCGTGTTTGCTAAACTGGAATGTTTAGTGTCACACAGTCTGTTCTTATCATAGAATAAATGAACCTTGGTAACAGGATTCCAGACTGGAATGGCATCCAGTATTTGTCTTCTAGAGAAATCGTGTCTATGTTAATTCCGTTTTCCTTTTTACAGATTCTGATGTTAGTTATGTGTGCTTTTTTATTTTAACGAGGACTGAAAAAGAGATCTGGACCAGGAAAATTGTGGGTGGCTAAGAGATTTAAAAAAAAAAAAGAGGATTACATCTAAATTCCATACATTGGGTTGTCGGAAAAGTCATGACACATTTTTGCAACGAAAAACATACAAAAAATATGTCACGACTTTTCCGACAACCCAATAGATAAATGATGCTGAATAAAAAGAAGAAACCTTTTTATAATGAATAATAATAATAAAACCATTTCCCTAAAAAGTCTTGGTTTCAACTCCTCAAATGCTATGTGAAAGGCTTGCTGTATCCTAAGCATTTGGGTTATGGGCAGAATATAAAAATGAAATAGACATATACTCTAGCCTCAAGGAACCTAATTCTAGTAGGGAATGACAACACCGGCGGGCCTCCATCATTAGTAAGGTGGGAGGACCTTACCTGGAAGCAAGGGAGAGCTCCAACTGAGGTGCTTCTGGCGTAGAGATGGGGCAGTTCTCACTGATCAGAGGCCTCAGTAGAGGAGCCTGGTGCTTCACATCATCATGCCAAGAGATGGAGCTGACTCAGGCCTGTCTGGCGGGTGTGAACTTTCCAGGGATTTGATGAGACAGCAAGGGTAGAAGTGAGTGGCAGAAGGGGAGGAGGGCACAGTGTTGATGGCTCTGGGCACCAGTGATTCTCAGAAACAGGGGACTTTCTAAATCAGAGACCAGGAAGGTATCAAGCAAGGTATTTTCTTGGTATATTTCATGAAGAAACAAACAATGTGCCTGTTGTCAGACCGTTGGCAGAAACCAGATGAGGGGGCCAGTGAGACTGAGTTTCGGGTCCTCTTGCCTACCAGAAAACTACAGGCACTAAAGCTGGGCAGGAAGACTACATGAGGGACAGACCATGCCATGGAGAAAGCAGGGAGGGGCCTGCAGGACTGCGTTCACCCAGATATTTTGGACACTAGGTGCAGAGGCAGCAGTGCCTTTCCAGGTCCCACTATGAATGGGAATAGAGCTTCCAAAATGCTCCCAGGTGTGACCCTCAGCTGTCCTTGGGCAGTAGTCATGGTAGCTTTGGACTAATCATGGAATGACTGGAAGTCTACTGTAATAAAAAAAAAATCGTAAATACAGTAAAAAGTTATACACAAAGATATTCATTGCAGCATTTCGTATTGAATTGAATTGATTGAAAATAATTTAAATATCAACAATACAGGAATGAGTAAACAAATTATGAAGTATGTTTTTGATAGTGTTACATAGCCATCGATGATAGTGAAGAATCCAGAGTATATAGCTTAATACAGTATATAACTGAAAAAGCAACATACAAAGTTATATATACACTGTTCCCAGATTCCACTTGAGACATTTATTGATGGAGACGTCTCAGATGGAATCTGAGGACAGTGACTATATAACAGGGAAGAGGTGGCATCTGAGGGAAGCTAAATTAACATACACTAGGTGTTTTATCTGCGCCCAGTTTACTGCCAAGCACTTTAATATTTTTTCATATTATCAAGTTAGGGTCATTTCTTAATTTTAAAGACTTAACCTCAGAGAAATTGTTTTCTAATGTGCTCCCAGATCAAGCAATGTCTAGAATTCACAGGGTATTCTGGCTGACCTGGAAGCTATACCAGCCTCCTCAGCTGGCTTTGAAATTTGGTGGAATTTTGACCAAGGGCATGACTGACAGAACAGACAACCTTACAGAGAGAATGGTGCTCAACATAATCTTATTTTGCATTTTATTTTATTTTTCCTTTAAGTGAGAAATGTGGTATTCCCATAATATATGCCATATTTTAAATATATAGGTATATGTAATATAATAGCAATTTTGTTGATAGCAAAGAAAATAATGTGTAAATGTAATGAGAGAAGGGGTTTATACCTGTGAGGTGAGAGGGGCTTGTCTGTGAAAAAATATAGACAGCATACTGATGAAAGAGACAGGACTAGAGAGCTGGTATAATGTGAGTATAATATATTTAAAGAAACATGAATTTAAGAGTTTTCAGTTGAAATTGTAAATGCATTTTTTTAAAGATTTTATTGGGGAATTGGGGAAGGGGGACAGCCAAGTTGTTGTCCTTCAATCTTAGTTGTAGAGGGCGCAGCTAGCTCAGCTCCAAGTCCAGTCACCATCCGGCTGCCCGTTGGCAGCTCCCAGCTGCTCAGCTCAAGGTGCCGTGTTCAATCTTAGTTGCGGTGGGCATAGCCCACCATCCCATGAGGAAGTTGAGCCAGAAACCTTGTTGTTAGGAGCACGTGCTCTCACCAGCTGAGCCATCCTGCCACCTATTGGCAGCTGAGCAGCAGCTCAGGTCGGGTGCAGCTCACTGGCCCATGTGGGAATTGAACCGGTGACCCCGTTGCTCAGAGCTCATGCACTTAACCAACTGAGCCATTTGGCCAGCCCTGTAAATGCATTTTTAAAAAGAGGAATGTTTTGAAGTGTCCAGAGGGTATCAAAAGCACAGGTCTCCTAAAGGTAAGGATGAGCTGCTGAAGCACTGGAGTCATTTCATGTGTGTTAAAAACTGTTGAGGGAGCACCACTTCTCTCCTACAGGGACCGTAAAGGGCGTGGGGGCAATGGAGCAGAGTTCACCCATGCCCTTGAGGTTGAACTCTGTAGCCGAGGGCAGTATTTTCAGTGGCATCTTTTGTGGTCATCTGGAGAGAGGATGTTTACTCAAAGTGCCTTTTGCTTTCTTTTATTCCACAGCTGCAAAGCCCAGAGAAACCTGAATTCTTTCTTTGCTATCGTGATGGGTCTCAACACTGCTTCTGTCAGCCGGCTGTCACAGACCTGGGAGGTGAGTCTTGGGGGTCCACGCTGAGAGGGGAGTGGGAGGGACAAATGAAACTGAACGGGAAACATTCTAGCAAAAAGTCTTTATTTAAAATGCTTCTATGTGTGGTGTTAAATGGGCACTAGATTTGCTGGGGTGATAAGTTGGAGGGATTTGGGGGCAGAGTGGAAAAGGTGATGGGATTAAGAAGTACAAATTGGTAGTTAAAAAATAGTCTCAGGGATGTAAAGTACAGCACAGGGAATATAGTCAATAATATGGTAATAACTATGTGTAGTGCCAGGTGGGGGTACTAGACTAGCCAGGGGGATCACCTCTTAAATTATACAGATGTCTAACCACTATGCTGTACACTTGAAATTAATATCAAATAATATTGAATGTCAAATAAGTATATAAAAATAGAATGTATATATGGATTTAAATGGTTTTAAATAAGATACGTACTACTAGAAAAAAGTTAAAAGGTAACGTGTCAAGTTAATAGGAACTGTTTTGATCAGTGGTCTTCAAAATGGTCTGTAATATATGTAAAAGTGGTAAGAATTGTAAAATGCTCCTGAGCTAGAATTCATCTTCCTCTACTCTGCTCTGGTGATAGCGTGGTTACAGTTCCATGGTGATCCTTTCAAAAGCTCACCTGTGTGATGATATTGGGTTGTTGGAAAAGTCATGACGCATTTTTCTATGTTTTATGTTACAAAAATGCATCATGACTTTTCCAACAACCCAATATGTGTCCAGAAACCGATTGGCTGAGATGCTAATGAACTCAGCTTCCAGGCCTCTCTCACTTGCAGGGCCCCTGGCAGTATGTGCACCTGAATGATGCATATCTTCGTAAAATTTTCAAAAGTCAAGTAATTTTGTATTCCTTATCTTAAAGATGGTCCACAAAGTAAGTTTCATGCCTCTGAAATCTTGTCTCTGCCTCTGTCGGTGTTGTATGATGCAGGCTGTTTAGGTTCTAAGATGGAGAGACACACTCAAGTTAGCACAAGTTTTCAAACAGGGACTTGAAGGGTCTTTGTAGGAAAAACTGACACTGGGGTGTCCCTAAATTTAGCCAGACACAGGTGTAGGGCTCGCTACCCTCCCCGCTGCCCCATCACTTTTTTCCCTTGGGCTTTTGTTTCCTCCTCTCTCTCTTCCCTACTGACTGGCTTCTTCTCCCCATGTACCATTTCCCTCCCTCGTCTCCTCTCTTTAACCATCAAGTCTTCTCCCTTTTGGCTGTAGCCCGCACGTGGCTCACGACCTCTCCTTAGCCTCTCCCCAGTCTTCTCAGATTCAGCTCCTATCACCAACTGCTTCATTCTCCTTATGGTTCCCAATTCAAACTCCTACAAGAGAGAAGCTGATAAGCCAGCATTTTTCTTTCTTATATCACATCTCGACATAGGTCTTTGGACAATTTATGGATTCACTTTCTGTGAGTTGGGGGTCATACTCTGATGGAATGCACTGTGGTAACCAGCGGGTCAGGTCAGTGCTGTTTAAAGGGGTTCAAAAGGAAAGAAATGAAAGGCCTGCCTGCTCTGGTTAAGCAAACAAGACCATGCACACACATGGTAAGATTAAAAGAGATGGGCAACAAATGCCCCAGCTGATCAGAAGAGGTGGAGAACAAATGGCTAGCAAGGGCCAGGGGAGTGTGGAGTTTGAATTAAGCCTAGAAAGAAGCTTTGATTTGCAAAAATTGGGAGGACAGATAACGCAGTTAAATTCAAACAGCATAAAAGTCATGACCATATTGATTGCCTACTATGTGCAAAGCACTGCATCATCACCAGGTAGAAAATGGGTCAGCCAGATTAGGACAGAGTATGCTCTGATGAAGGAGGCCTTGAGCCAAGTCCAGTTGGACCACAGAGGAGCAAAGTGGAGGGACTCATTCTGCCTCAGGGGACCTGAGAGCAGCTGAGGGTGCTGGGGTGGGCATCCCAACAGAGGTGACCACAGGATCTCTAGGCCTGGTGAAAGTGGTCACAGTATTTTAAATAGACAATAAAGGAAAAGAAGTAGATTTGAGGAACTAGAACAGAGGTCAGCAAATTTAGGGGTTGAAAGGCCAGGTAGTAAATATTTCTTTGGCTGTTCAGGCCATGTGGTCTCTGTTGCAATGACTCAACTCTGCACTGTAGTGTTAAGAGCAGCCACAGCTAGTGTGTAAATGAATGGGCAAGGCTGTGTTTCAATAAAACTTTATTTACAAAAGCATGTGGTGCGCCAGATTCGGCCCATGGCTGACCCCTGGAGTAGATCAGTTTGACTTTAAATATGCTGAGTTTGAGGTGCCACTGGGTTATTCGTGTGGAATGTTCAACCGACTAAGACATGCAGCTCAGAAGAATGGTTGGAATCAGTTACACATGTCTCCATTTTATCTTTTGTCGTTTGATTTGTCCTCCATTCATTAATAAATTGTGTGTCTGTGTGTATGACATTAGTTTCCAGACAGATTAAACTCCGTTTGCTGTGATTAACTGAGTCCAGATTCAAAATTATCAAATTGAAAAGCCTATTTATAAATAATTTTAAAGTCCAATTATTGTCAGGTTTGCCTCAATATTTTGATTAGTTTTTAGAAACAATGTCCCACAAATATCTTCCGGAACGTTGTCATGTGTTAATAGCTGGAATTTGTTAAACACCAACCGTGGACTATACACTTTTTATGAGTTTTCCCCATATTAGTCAGTGAGGTTGGAACTCGCACAAAATCACAGAGCTAGAGAGGGGGACTCAGAATTCAAAGTCAGACTGTCTGCTTACACGTCAGTATGAAAGGCGTCCAGTTATTCACTTAGCCATGTTAAAGGCAGGCTGGGAAATTCCAGGCTCTTCTTCCTTAGGCCTGAATTTTTATTTGGGAAGATGGCATGTGTTTCTATCTTCTGTCATTTTACGTGCCGCCTCTGGGTGTGGTTGGTCGTAGTAACTCAGAGATTAAAGCTTCATCATTGAGAGTTTTCACGGTCTTTAACTATTTAGCCCTGTGCTGTAAAATATAATTATATCATTTAAAAAAAAATGTCAGCCAACATTATTATTTCCCATCTTCTGTTTAAGAAGATGAGAGCATTCATGAAAGGTGGGACGTGGAATCAAAGCCCAAGTGTTTATTAAAAAATCACCCGGGTGTGGAATGTCTAAGCAGCCAGATTCCTGCGTCGCGTGGCTGTTATTTACTTTCAGCTGGTTTTTGCCACATTCCCAAGGAATGTCACGTTAAGAGATGATGAAAATTACATCACGAGAAGCAATCAGGACAGGACCAGATGATAACATGTATTTATGTTTGGAAATGTGACATATGTAAAGTAAGCACAACTTAAGGAAAACCCCTCTTTTTGCCTCTCAAGATAACTGACGTCTTTGACCGTTTTCTTTTTTGTTTTTGTTTTGTAGAAAATTCCTGGGAAGTTTAAGAAACTTTTTTCTGAACTTGAAAGTTTAACAGTAAGTAGTTGAGCCAGATGGTCCTTATTCTTCTAATTAATTGCTACTGTCTAATTTTCTTCTAGATTCCAATAGTCGTTATCTGTACTCCATCATGTCACATAGCTTAGACGAGTTCACTTGTATCTGAAAAATTTAGCTTCTTATTGGAATGAAGCAAGTTTACAGTTAATGCTTTTTCCTCTCCATGGAAAAAGGTAGTGAGAATGATCCTTTTGGTATGACTTTCAGAAAGCAGATTTTTTAGCATAGTCGATTTCAAAGCCTTTGAAATTAATTGGTATACATTTAGTGTGCAGTCAGTGTTTTATGCATTCTTCTTTTCTCCTTTTTCTACTTTTTACCATTTCTTAGGTTTCGATACAAAACATATAGTTTCTTTTCAGAATGCAATAAGACAGTATTCTTTTGTTTTCTCTGCATTATCTGTGCATTATGAGGGCATTTTTTTCTTTGCACTGTACCTAACAAAAGACATTGGGGTTACCTCATGATAGAAATTATGCGGAGGAAACTATTCTTAAAGAACCTATTTGAGGAAAATAATAGCATGGGCAAAAGGTCTCTCCCTTTTTTAGTCGTTTCCCATTATTGTAAAGCAATAACTTGACTTTCACTCATTGCCTAGATTTCCTGCCCTAATTTAGTGAGTTTATTCTCCTAGGAAACCTTTATCTACTTTGTTCTTAGGAAGAACCTCTCGATATCTAAATCACGTTCAAAATTGTATAGCCAAAGTGGATTTAGAATTGTTCCTGTAGCACACTGATTTCTCTTTCTCTTCGTAATCTGCTTGGTTTGGCAGGACCCTTCCCTGAATCACAAAGCCTACAGAGATGCATTCAAAAAGATGAAGCCACCCAAAATCCCCTTCCTGCCCTTATTGCTCAAAGGTAACGAGTTTTTTTTATCTTTTATGCTATGTAATGCCATCTTCTAGAAATTTCTCATGGTAACGATAAAGGACCAAAAAAAAAAAAAAAAAGACTCTCAGTTTATTTTTTTTTGCTTTTGACATTCAGACCTTACTGTGTTTGCTTGTGATTGTTTTTCAAATGCTCAGGTATTTCCGAGATACCTCAAATACTTCATTGTACTTGAGTAGACATCAGAGCATTTTCTCCTGACTCAGAATTGGGCACTAGAAACTTTTGTGTGTGTGTGTGTGTGTTTTTATTTTACCCTGCTGTTTTATTTTCTTTGAGTTTATAAGCCACTTAATTCAACCAGGGACAGGCTGGCACAAAGAACCCAAGTGGTGATCAATCATGAGCTATGTTTGCAACCTAAATTTCAGAGATACAGCCCACAGCCTGTGGCTGTGTGAGAAATACCTTTGGTCAATACAAGCCATATAGTGGATGAAAGTTACTGGTCAAGAATGTACTCTCTTCTTTCCAGGAGTGGAATCCATTTAGGAAAGTATATGACAGCCCAAGTTAGCCCACGGACTTCTCTTCTCTAGAGCAGCAAATAATTCATCATGAAACATGCTCGTTAAATTTACTAATGAGATCTCAGCTCTCTCTCTCTCAAAACAAGGGAATTCATGAAGGGGAAGCTCATCGTTATCTGGCCTACATTCCTGACATTGAGTATATATATCTTACCTGTGTGCTTTCCAGAGAAAGGGAACTTGGTCTTTTTTCTTGGCCATATTTTGATTCTTTCCAAGGGATTTTATAGGAATCCTCTTTAGTATCGCCTCTGCCTTTCGGAGGCTTGTAACTTCTGCTGGGTCAGGTTCCAATGCCGGGGCCCATAAAATGTGACTCTGGAAACGAGTTCAGAACTAGGTTGCCGGCTGGCCTGGTCATCTTCTTCCCCGACCTTACTCCATCGCCAGCCCCACTGGCAATAAAGCTGATATCTCCTCTACAGCTTCTCTGAAGAACAACTAGCGCTTGGGGAATTACTGAGCTACTATGCATTCCTGCAGCTACTCATTTAGTCTTCACCTAGTATAAATATAAAGCAAGAATCTCTGTGAAACAATAATATAGTAGGACAATTGAGAGGCTCACAGATGCTTCATCCAGGCTGAAAAAATTCTGCTAAGTGTAAATGGATGAAATGAGGAGAGATTGTAATACCAAGATGACAATTTAAAAGTTCATTTGATTCTTCGTGTGTATTTCCTCTAAGATAAGTTTATTCAGGCTTATGATTTTTATTTGCAAAATAAAACACCTTCAACTGGAGAGTGGGGGTGGCAGGTGGGAAGTAACATTTAGAATCATTTAGACACAAATAGGAAAAATAGGAAATGAGAAAAGGAATTGGTTTTAGGAATGAAAGTTTTTGAAACAATCAATATTTTTAAGGTAATGAGAAATTAGCTGACAATGTCCCTTTAAGTTAATTAGAGATGAGCAAGCTTTCTGCTATATATTAGTGGTTTTTCAAAAAAATATATATATTTAATGCAGTGAAGTGTCTTACACACATCTTATCTTGGATGCAATTTTCTGCTCTACTGAGTTTATCTAGATTTCTTTGTTGGCAGCAAAACACATTTCCCTTTTTTCTACTGAAAACACGTTCACTCATTTGCTCCAGTAAACAGTTTTTTCTTTTCTTCATTAGAAGCTTTCTTGAATTTAAATAAGCACTTATTTTTTCCTTTATCTTAATTTTTTATCATTATAAAAATAAACATAATTAGCACTCAGTTGTATTTAAAGTTTTTGTCTGAAATCATTTCCAAAGGAAAATAGGATGAAAACTTGAAATATGTATGTATTATGCCTGACATAAGACATTTTGGAAAAACTAAGCATTAATTCTTAGGCTTTTTTTAAATGCAAAATTATTTTAAAAGTTGCAATAACTGCTTTAGAGGAACCACCTTTTTAATGAAAACTCTTCCCCCCACTTTTGTGCTTTCTACTTTGAGTTGCTTTTTGGTAGCGCAAAAGGACCTAATTGAACTCGTTGGGTATTGAGAAGGGTTCGGCCTCCCATGTTCTATTTTTTGAGGTAGTCAGTGCCCACCCAGTAAGGCTGCATGTTATCAAGTAAGCACATAACCTGAGGATCCTTTCAGCCATCCGCTTCCCTATTTTCCAGCTAAATTTCTTGCCTTTTGATTTACTTTCCCTTCTACTGTGATGTGGAATCCGTTCGGAAACACTAAATAAATGTTGGGGAAAGGATCCCGCTGAGCACCCTGTGTCGTCCACATCTAATGGTTTTGGAGATGGCAGAGTGAACAGAGTGAACAGTCACCTCAAACAGGTGTTTGAAGATGAACTGAGGTCCTCGTGGTGGGTTGTCTACGTATCTTAAAGTGGAGATTGTTCTTGCAGTTTTGGTGAGGTATTTAAATAAGAGGAGTGTTGGGGTTCTTGTGTGTTTCTTCTTCCTCTTTTACACACCGTCGCCTCAAATGGAGTCATTTCATCAGGCACTTCTAGTCTATGAAGTGTTTGTAGTATGTTCAGGTGTGTCCAGATGAAAGGGGTCTGACAGGTGCTCATTTCCTGCACCCTCAACTACTTCACAGCCCACAACGTAAGTTCTAAGAGCCCAGTTTTTTACCGCAACCACCTATTGGTTTACCTCTGTCACACCTTCCTCATCACACACCTGCCGTTCAACTGCGTCAAAACCTTCAACTGCTTGAACCCCCTTCTCCTGGGCGGCAGCCCCTTCCAGCTCTGGCCCCTCCCTACCTGGCCAGACACCCCCTCTCTGCCTTCTCTTCATGCCAGCATCAGCACGACAGCCCAGCCCTCCAAAGACCAGCCGTTCTCCTCTGCTGACCTGGACAAGACTCTGAGAGTTGAGGTTGAGGAGGGGAGATTTAGGGCTGGATGGGATAGAAGGAGTGACAAAGGAAACACTTGAAAAGCTGCAGAGACACCCTCTGTGCCATGAATTCAGCAAGCTGACTATAGCAGGTTTTAAGAAATGTCCAAGTCCTTTCAACTGGGGAGATACCAGCGAGACAGCGGTGAGAGGAAACAGGCGCCCTGGGTTTCAATCTTGCCTGTGTCATTTAGAGCTGCAGTCAAGGATCAGCCGTGCGTGTTCTTTGGACCAGCGTTTCTTCCCATTGGTTTCCTGCTAGGGCTTTATCTTACAGTCTTCTGTGAGGGTTCAGTGAGTTAATGCCATGTCTGATGCTGTTAATGAATACATACTCTGTCATTATTGTCATCCTCTTTGGGAACACAGGAAAGGGGATACAAACCTTGTAACACTGGGGGAATGGACCCGGAGAAGGCGTTTGTAATTCAAATTCTCAGGGGGTTTTGGAGAGATTAGGTTTTTCGGTGGTCATTAATGTAGAAAAAGCGCACACAGTGCTTTATTTGCTACGCAGAAAGGTAAAAATTAACTGTGTTGACTACTCTTCTAAATATTCTGTCACGAAATGAAAACTTGCCATTCTTTTCTGCAAGCAAAATCATGAGAGGCAATAAAATAACCAGATCGTTTGTCAGATGACTGTGTGATTGTGAAATAGTTTTGCTCTAGGACATCAGTTTAAAAAAAAAAAGAGAGAGAGAGAGAGAGAAAAAAGCATAGGGAAACGTTGCAGTCCTTTCTGGAAGCTGTGTAAGGGATGCCTTGAGGAGACTGTTGTTATCAGCGTATCCTGTGACTATGTAACTTGTGCCGCCCCCTGGCGGGCAAAGTTAGGGGGCTGAGGTATGGGAGGCGGGTTTCTGGAAGACCTAGCTCATAATTGCCCCCTGGGAACCAGCAGAATCAGTCTTGATTAAATGCAAATGCTTCCCCTTTCTATTAAGCTGTTATTTTCTCTCTTGTACGTTAGGTTACGTTAATAAGTTTTTGAAAATTATCTTGGTTTGGTTTGCCCTCCATGTGTGTGATATGACATGATTATTTTCATGCTCTTCAAATGGTAGTATCTTTCTTACTTTGATTCTTGTTTGTGAGGATTCCCTAGGGCCCAGTCATTGACCCTCTCTGATCTGAGTTTTTATGTCAGCTATTCTCACAGCTTCTGTCTTTATTGTAACTAATTCCCAAATCCCTATCTCTCGAGGGGACACTCCTATGTTTATTGCAACCAAAAAGGTTTGTGTTTGAATATCTTCTGTCACTGAGGCTCAAGCCAAATGTAACTTTATTTTCTTCTGAACTTCATCCTACTTTCCTCAGCTTATTTTCATCAGTGGTGCTTTCTTCCAGTTCTTCAGTAGAGCCTGAAATCTAGATATTTCAAACCTGTTTCCTCACTCACTTCTGATACACATTCAGACGCTGGCTTTGTTAAGCAAAAATCTAAATTTGAACATCTAAATCTAAATGTAAACATTTTAAATAAAGCAGGTTCCCTGCACTTTCCCAGGGATTGTCAAAAAAACAAACACATCAATATTAAAATCTAATCGTTTCCAGGTATTCAGTTCTTTTCTGTTCAACGTTCTGGCCTAAAAACATAACGGACCAGTTAAGTTATAGAATAGTGTTAGCTTGTATTAAGTAGGTTGAAGTCAAACAGTTCATTGTAAGTACAAAGTATATACTTGCTTTAACGTTATAATGTTTTCTCCCACGCATACATAAATTATGCCCTTTCGCATTGAATAGTACACAGATTCTATTTCAAGTTGCCTTGTCAAATGCATGGAATAATCCATAATGTCTAAGAAAAATTAATAAGCTGTACTGCATCTAGACCTCCATCCCTGACTCATGATCCATTCCTAAAAAGCACGTGTATCTTTTTGTTTTTAATTTTCAGATGTAACATTTATTCATGAAGGAAATAAAACATTTTTGGATAACCTTGTCAATTTTGAAAAGCTGGTAGGTAATTTTTATCATTTCTCCTTTTCCCACTGTAAGGGAAACGTACGCTTTTCTTTCTTGCTCCAGGAAACAAAATGATTAAGCCCTTTTCTCCACTGAATGCATGGTGATTTCCAGGAGCTTATTTGCTGCATGTTGTGTATTGTCGATAAAATGTATTGCAATTAAAAATAAGTGTGCTAGCAAGGCTTTGAGAACCAAATATAAAAATCTGCTGTTTAGTTTTGGAAATGGAACTTCATTAGATTCACATCAGCAATTGAGTGTATGCTATTGAACCAGAAATAAAGCTGTAAGGAGGAATTCATGCTCTCGAGGTTAAGCTTTGCTGCTTTAAAGGCATCTCTCTGTGTCCCGGCATGCACCGCTTCCCGGGCACAGGAGAAAGCTCTCTTTCTGGGGAGATGTGTCCATCTCCCAATACTCCCAGCTTGACTATGATGGTGGAATTTGCAGGATCTGCGTGTGAGGGGAAGGACCACCCTTTTATCAGCCTGTGGACAAATGGTGCCATTGTGGAGAGAGCAGCTTTGACAGTGTCCTCCCTGCACACAAGAAAGAGGTCCCTAGTCAGTCCTTCCTTACAAGTTACTGAAATGCCTCTTCCTGAATTATTACCAGGACGTTCCCAGGGGCTTTGTCTTGCAGTGGGCTCCTCCTAGCCCTTCTGACCAGCCTTCTTCTCCTAGGGCAGAGAAGGAGTTGCCTCTAAGAACTGACCAAGTATAAAGCAGGAGTGCTCCAAAGAGACCCGGCTGACAATGAGAAGAATGGATTTCTGACAGCTGAACTTTAGTCATAGATTAGATTGTCCTTTGTGATTAAAAATGATACCAGTGACCCCTGTCCATAGATCCTGACCTTTGAGTGACCTTTTCAGCAACGATAACGGATTTGTGTGAACTCTTTCAGGAACTGACCCCTGGTTCCCTGTGAGACTGGGTCAGGCATTTGAGAGAAGGTTGAATGAGGCGAGGGCCACAGACCATGACCAAAAAACAGTTTAAACTGATGAGTCCGAATGAGGTTTGGCGCCTGACCTTTGCCTCATGAGTGCCCTGCTCTAATCATTAGGTTAACTTGCCACACATAGGATGAGGCAGCATGGGACCACTGTACAACTTGAAAACCCAAGCACTTAGAATCTGAAAGACAGACCTCTTGGAATATCTTGCCATAGGCCCATTTTAATCACTCAAGGACAATCGCTTTGTGGCTAGTTATTTTTAAAGTGAATATGCCTATAAATTTTCAAGTCTCTCTCTCTGCCCTAAGTGCTTTGGAATCAGAGCTCAGGTATTTCAGATACTACAGTCAAACCAACACAGCCGGAAATGGATATTTAACGTGTTGGGGTTTTGGTACTTACTCTTTAGAGATTTGCTCTGTGTCGCTGTATAATGTTCTGAAGATCCAAGGGCGCTTATTTGCAACCAAATAAGCTTTAGAGAGCGTGTGTGAAGACGTGGGATGAAGTGTGTCCCACCAAGCAGAATCCCCTGTAAAAGGCCTAGCAACTTTTCCACCAACTGACTGGAGGGAACACAGGAGAACAATTGTACTCTTCATAAGCTGACCCTTGAGCATTGTTAAGGGAAGACTGATGGTTGGCCTTCTCTCCAAAGCGAACCAGCTGTTTGGTTAAGTTCATCATGTCATTTCCCCTCCGATAGTGCTACCAGAATGAGAGAACAATTCGATGAAGGCACAAATGGGAAAGAGCGATGGAAAGATCCCTACACCCTTTTCTCTCTCATTCTGACCAGCATCTCCGGGCTTCCCCTGCTGTCTCCAACAATCCAGTGAAAGTCTTTTTATGCCAGCTTAGGTAATCTGGGGTCTTGCTTGCATATGTGCCAACACGTCAAACTGACCTTTGGAACTGAAACAAAGAAAGTCTAACTTTTGAGTACTTTTGTTGGGGTTGATAATTATCTGTACCCTTCATTCTTTAAGAAAGTTTAAGGAAATAGCATGGCTAGAATATAGGTTATACATAGACACAGCGTGCCCCTAGCACACACACACGCACCCATCAGGCACTTGCTAGCACATCATTTCTAAAGAGAGCAGATTTTGTATTATCAGCATGTTCCTGGTCCTCAAAGCAGATGGCACTTAAGATACAGCACACCTCATGCTAATCCCCCTCCTTGCACAGAGAAAACAGGGTGAAGTTGGAATTATCTAGAAGGACAAAAATCTCTTTTACATTGTACATAGCCCTATATTACACTTCAATGCGGAGAATGAAACTGAATTTCCTAGTAAAATCAGTATTTTCAGAGAATGGTCCTTAGCAAAGGATAGGATTTCACTTAAGCTAAAACAGGATCATTTTTCTTGATAATGAACCAATAGAACGTAACTGAATTAAGCTTGCGAGGAGCCAGTTTCTCATGATGGCTTTATTAGCGTAAGCCAGCTAGCAGATAATTCAGTGTATTATCTTTATCTGGCTGATACAGGCCAACACATTAAGTCAGACGACATGAAGACCCGGAAGTCTTCATTGGGTCTAATAAGATTTCTATCATACCCTACGCTGCCTCAGCAACTCTCCATGTTTCAGCCTCAAACTATAAAATAATGAAGAAACAAATGCTTCCCCTTTTCTTTACCCCTCAATGGTAAGAGCATCATCTTTTACCATATCTTCCTCTCTCCCCTTCAGAGAACCTAAAGATGAGGATCAGGACTCAGGTTTCAATGCCGTCCTCAGCACTTAGCCTTGCGTCAGCTCCAGCCTGGCATGAGCTACGCAAATGGCACATGATAGAAATCAACGTGACGCCATAGCTCAAAACAATGAGGGAGCTGTCCTGGGAATAGTGGTAAATTTGGGGAAGGAAATTTAACAATACATTCACAGACATGAGTCAGGTCTCATTTCCTTTACAAATGCAACTTGAGCTACTGTTGTAATCACTGTCCGATTTAATTTCCCACTATTGAGTAGAAATACAGCTGTGAGAACAATTTAATAAGTAGGTCATATTCAAATACAGCTTCTGTAGTTCTGCTAGTTTTAAGTAAAAAAAACTACTTTAGTATTAACTTTTCTTTTAGCAATAATTTATTGAGAGCTTGCTGTGTATGGACAGGCCTGTGTTTGGTGTATAAACGCAGGACATGAAGGATGTTGACTCACTTGGGGAAATTTGAAGCACCAGATAATGAACAGTGTTGATTCTTGAATAAGAATAGGATGATGTTTGGATTTTGATACGAAACCAATCAGGGAGTCACTGCAGGTTTTCCAGAGGACTAGAACACGATGACAGCAGTGTTTGGAGGTTATCCTCGCAGCTGTGTAGGAGGAACCGAAGTGGAGAATGGTCTTGACCTAAATGCCATCTTTCCTTCAACATGGAAAATTGAAAAATGATAGCGCTTAGAAGACAGTTAGCAGGTACATAAATATGAGGTGATGGGATCAGGTCAAAAGCGCTGCAAGTTTTAAGAAGACCTTTGCCTGGAGATCAGTGAGAACTTTAAAGAAAGAAATTAAAGTACAATAGTGAAGCCTGTAGGAGGGAATGTAAATTATAAACAGAAAACAATCTATGTGAAGATATTGAAGTTTTAAAAAATATTTGTTGTTCACGAATAGCTCACTTCCTGTCCCCATTTGAGGTACTTGAGTCTTTGAGTCCACAAAAACTCTTACCTCCATTCAGCAAGTGTGTGCGCATCAACGTGTATGACACACGCCAAGCCCCCTGGTGGTACCTGGTCTAGAGAGGGAGACAAGTTGTACAGGGGTTACAGCCCGTATATACTGTACAGAGATCAGTGAGCACACTAAGAATGCAGCCTCCCAAGTTCAGAAGAGAGGTCTCACAAAGGCTTTATGGAGAGAAGGTGAAAACTCCCCTGAAGTGAAAAGCCTAAGCAAATCCAGACAGATAGACTGGAGGTCGTAAGCCTGTGTTTCTTTACGGTACCTTTTCCCGCGGCTCAGTTAGAATCTGTGCACCGGGTTTGGGAGTCACTGTTTCTGCAGACAAGGACTAAATATTCTTTTGTAACCCAAGCTCACTGTTATCAGTTAAAGTTAAGTCCAGCTCCAAATTACACCCAAGGGTGTAAATATCCTTCAATCGGAGCAGGCACACTACTTCAGTAACACCCTAAATGACTCTTCCACTGATAGTTTCCTACTCTGCCTTCCAGCATATGATCGCAGACACTGTCCGAACCCTGAGACACTGCAGGACCAACCAGTTCGGTGAGTCATCGATGTGGTGTGGAATGTGAACTTACCATATGGTAGTACAGACTGTGAGCATGTCACAAGTATATGGTGGTAATACATTTAAATAGGTCGGAAAGTATAATATGCATTTTAGAGGCATAGACTATATTCTCTGTTTCATCACTGTGTGTTTGGGATGCAGAGGAAGTCAAGATATGGCAGATTTTTATCTTCATTGCAGTAAGTTTACACTGTACAGAGTGACTTTGGACGATCAGAAGTTCCCACCCCCGCGCCCCAACTCAGAAAGCCTTGTTTGCTTGCCCATTGGTGCAGAATTATCAGGGGTTTATCAGGGGTGACCTGGTCCCTAACCCCCTTGCTTAGAGCCTTCCTGGAATAGGAATATGGTTTGTAAAAGTGCCTAACACAGCCTTGCAGAATCTTTCCTCCTCTCCAACAAAAACTTCCTGCCTGGAGCTGCCTTTCACTGAAAAAGCATTTTTCTGAGCACTTTTGCAGACTCCCCACTGAGACAAATGCATGTAAGAATGTTTGTTCCTTTTTAAAATCTCAGGCATAATTTACATTATGTTTAAATCATGTTGAAACATTGCAGGAAGGAAGGAAATCAACTTTATTGACTTCAAGGAGCTTTCACATGGGCAGTGGGATCCTGACACCAGTATTGGTGATTGCTGAACAGAGATTATTAATCCTGTGTGTACAGAGCAGAGGAGACGCAGAAACGTTAACTCATTTAGCCATTGTGCAGATAGAGTCTGCCTGATTTCCTGGGCCATACCCTTTCCTTTGCCTTCTGCAAATCCTGTAGACGTGAAGGGCATTTTTTTAAAAATAGAAAGTTGAGTTCAATAATTATAATTCAATCAAAGGTGACCACTGAATAAAACTTAATTTGTTAAATAATGCATTCTCATTGTAAAACATTTTTTTCAACAATACAGAATATATGTAAAGTAGACAACTCAAAGTCCCACTTCCTAAGGATAGGTGCATATTCTTAAGAATCTTTTTACTCTCTGAGCTGGTCTTGGGTGGGTGGCAGTATTGTCCCCCAACAAAGCAACTGAACTTCTGTATGAATTACAAAGTTTTTCTTCAAAAGGGTGAATTATAAATACAGGACCTAATTTTCTAAATATTCACATCAATTAACACCATTTCATCTGTGCTTATATAATTCTCCATTAAGTACCCAAGTACAATGCTGTTATAATAGAACCAGTGATAACATTGTCATAGAGATTCATTCAAATGTACAAGCATAATGTTACTGATAAGTTCCCCCATCCTTCTTTGCTTCCCCAAGCATTTATGCTTACTTAGCTAATTCTAAGATCTCTGTCTCACTTTACCAAGGGACTCTGGTTTATATATGCATATGCTGCATGTGTGGACAGGAAGGTTATACTGGCTTGGCTGGCCTTGACCCTGTCTGGGACCTCCCATCACCAGAGAGTAAAACTGCATAGCATAAAGCAAAGGAGAAATCTAATAACTATCGGGCCCATTTGTATTCTGTATTTCTATACCTTTAAAAATCAGGTTTGGGACTAATTATCTAAATTCATTTTGACAGTTTATATGGGCATAGTAAACTAATGTCAGCATTTGGGCTAAAATAATGGTAATCAAGCCCCTGATAAAGGCCACGCAAGTGTCAGTTGCAGTGGTTGGAACCATTCATTCTATCACCTTTTTAAGACCAAAATTTTAACAACAAAATTGTCTTTGTAGCATCACGTTTTCTAAACCAGTACTTACTAAACCAAAAGCAGTCTTTCAGTGTCCTCCAGAGAAGGCGTTCTAGAAAGACACCATTTTCTGGTCACTTTCATACAAATGGGATGGTAAAAACTTGAGCTCCTGGTGCTTTTACTTTTTTAAACCAGGAAGCCTTGTTTCTATTAAGAATTATAAGCCAGCCATGACAGACAAGCCTTAAATCGGTGTGGAATTATAAAAGGCATTGTCATAGAGGAGGAAAAAAAACGGCTTTTCACCAAGAGAAAAAAACTGCTGCGTTACAATGCTCAGCCTCCTGTAGGCCCCTCCCTTATGCTCAGGCAGCGCTCACCCCGCTGCTCCCAGCGAAATTCTGTGAAGCAAGAGGGTGTAAGGTCACCAGCACTCACGTTTACATTGCCTCTCTATAGTGCAGTTTAGCCATCTCCTGGTGCCTCGGGGTTTGGGGTTTTTTGTGGGGTGGATTTTGTTTGTTTTCGACTATGGGAAGTGGGCTTGCCCCATTGTCCAGGCTACCTTATCTCTGGTTCCTTATCAAAGCTGTCACAGCATGGCACGTATGTGTTCACAATGCACGCATGCTTCTTGTGGTCCTTTGGTTTTTTAACCACCCTGGATCTGGGAGTGGAAAGCCCTCTTAGCTTGTCCTTAACCGGATAGACATTCGCCCATCCGATACTTTCAGAACCTGCTTTGCCTGTTAACCATAGCTTAAGCTCAGTTCTGTGATATCCGTCCATTCAATTGGTCCCTTTTTTTTATTCTTTCAAAAAATGATACCAAAGAACAATACAAAGTCTACAAAAAAAAAAAGAACTATTGTGTTCATGTACTCACCAGATTAGTAGTGATTTCTGACAGTTCCAGACTGAAATAAAAGAGCCAGCAAAAGCCATATAAACGGGCAATTGCTGTGACAGGGGACCACAGACAATGGACCCAAGAGCCAGATGGCCTGGGTTCCAGTTCTGCCACTTACTTGCTGTGTGTCTGTGCTGTTTCCCCTTCTGTAAGCAGGGATAATTACATAATCACTAAATGCTATGTGATATTAGGCAGTAAATGCTGTAGAAGCATTGGTTAAACAAATACCTTGCCACTGTAAGTACCTGACCTGAGGAACCTAGTCTGAGCTGAAAAAGCAACTGTGCTGTTGGGAGAAAGCTTTCTCTTCTGTGATTCTGACTAACAAGAGCCTGCCTGGTAGATTTACTCCAAGCCTTAATGTTTGGTTTTACTGGTATTTAGAAATAGCATTATTGCTCTCATGAAACTGCCTTTTTTTTTTCCTCCCCCCTCCAAAACTTAGGAGGTGACATGTCTCCAAAAGAGCACCAGGAGTTAAAATCCTACGTTAACCACCTGTATGTCATCGACAGCCAACAGGCCCTGTTTGAGCTCTCACACAGGATCGAGCCGCGGGTGTGAGCCCCACCACCCCACCGCCTCACGCCCCCTGGGACTGCAGCACTTTGAGCTACAGGAATGTCAATGCCAAGCACGTCACTTTCCTGCGAGAAAAGAAGTTGCTGAGTTTTATCAGTAAATCACCAGACACACACAGGATAGCCAACGAAAGCGTGCCCAGGAAGTGACGTCAGCCGCCAGAGACAGGGAGAGGGCTCTGCTCACTGCTCACGAAACCAGAGGGCAGAAGAGTCCGGAGCATTCCTGAAATGGGGAAGCCTGGTTCCTAATGCTGACATTGTTGATCCCACCCAATTTTCCATTTGAGGTGTGCTGGCGTCAAGAAGAGAGAACGTGTCTTATTACACGGTGATCAAATACTTCAGGAAGATGTGCATGAAACAGGGAGGGGAGTCACTCGGCCTGGTAGTAGGTTTTTGTTGCTAGGCTGTCAAGTAGCTTGTTTGAACACCTGAAGACAGTGATGGCGTCTCTATATTTCCAGGGAGAAGGCGTGGTCTCTGTCTACACAAACTGTGACATCACCCAAAGCCACTTGTGTCTAGGGAGTTAGCGAGGACCAGAAGCTGGCATCCATGCTCTGATTCCCAGCAGGGAAGTGTCAAGGCCTGCGTTTCTTTGCATCTACAATCGCTTTTGGATGTCTGCTTGCAGGTGAAATTCATTTCTGCGCCACTGATTTGCAACTATCGGCAAGTTAGATTTAGTTGCTTTGCCAATAAGGAAAAATAGGAATCTTTAGGAAATGGACTCATTGTTTCATTTCCAGGGATTTTCTTTATGTGTGCAAGCAGGCTGTGAGTGGGAACACACACATATTGGGAACAATATGATTTTTAAAAGAACGCAGTGCCTGACACACAGGCATTTTGGAACTGGTTGTTGAGGTGGCAGAGAGTCACAAAGGTCTGCTTTCTTGTGCCTGATGACACCCTAGTGTTTTGCATGCCTCCAGCAGGCTCCTTGCCCACAGCAGCCAATCCAGGGAGGGTAAGAGCGATTGAGTGTGTAAAGCACGTGGCACTCCCTGGGGAAGAGCACGGTATTAAGATAGCGGTGATTGCCATCTTACAGCAAGTGAGAAGAACCCCAAAATACCCACATGTCTGATTTATGTGGGACACTTACAGGTCCTATAGTTCACCTCCCAACCAAGACAGGGACCCTTTCTGTAATTTGTCTTTTTGTTGTTGTGATTCAGAGTCTTTTAAGTCTTTTTTTTTTTTTATACCCATCTTTATAGGTTAGGGCTCCTCCAGTAAATAAGACTCTTGCTAGTCTCAAGAACTGGTTAGAGTTCCCTCAACCTTCAAATGAACAAAAAAAGCTTGTGGGATACAATAAGGAAACCCACCCCTGCCAGCTAGATACTTGTCCTGTTGCTACAACACAAGGACCCAGCTTCGGATTTCAGGTCCATTCATTTTGCCACACAACGTAAACCCTGGTGCACTTCTCACCTCTCACACCTGCCCGTCTCTCAGGTGAGCTCTCAGAACTGCTCCCTTTGGTCATCAGCACCTCCTTCCTGAGCTGTGTCCGATGCTCTCTGACACCTTGATAGCAGTGCTGTTTCCTGGGCTCAGGAACCACACTGAGCTTAGGAGATCACTGGCAGGAACCACGGAGAGATTTTTGGTAGGACTTTCAGAGCGATTCGGTCTGTCCCAGCATGTAAAATTCAGTCCTAAAAACTAACAGGATCTTAGAGAAAGGCACCCTCCGGGCCTGGTCCGCTCACAGAAATGCTCTAGGAACGGAACGAGACCCACTGGAGAGACCAGCGCCGTCGGAACCAGGGCAGACAGACTTCTCGCACGTCTGCTCGAACGCTGGAGAAGCTTTCCCCGTGCCGGTTACTGAGGGTAGAGTGCGCTTACAGCACACACATGCTTTTCTCTGTGCTGGGCCAGTCTAATCATGTCAGGCCACTTTTGACATTGTCTTCATGTTTTATAACTCAAATGTTTATTCACGTAAGATCTGCAGTGTTGCATCTACACCTATTAGAGTTGTTCCAGTGAAGAACTAGTTCAGCGTGGCACCTGCTACTTAGACCTCAATTCAGATATGTACACAGCCCAACAAATCCACACATACATCAGGTTTAAACACGTTTTGATGGTGTCAGGAGAGGTCCCGCATGGCATGGGTGGAAACAGGCTGGGGAGAAAATGGCGCTTGCCCTCAGTTTCCTCCAGTTGTGGCTCAGGTGGTTCTCAAGGCAGCAAAGGGAAGGGAGTATCTCGTTTAATTTAGATTTGCTTTTCTATTCCTGTCTTCTGCATGTCAGAAATCTTCCAAATCGTTCTGAAATTTAATAACTATCTCCAGTCGTGCCCCAGACAGCAACTCTCTGAAATTTCAGAAGCTCTGAGAAGACGTGAATATGGAATTAAAGAATTCAAGGCAGAATTGTGGATGCCACGTTTAGCTCTTTCTAACGGATCTGCACTGTCCAACTGTGAGTGGGCCGCCAGGAATTTAGTTCCCCTAACAGGGGGTGCTGTATTCCTTCTGCAAATATTTGCCAAGGCCACTTTGGAAGAGGTTTTGTTCTGGCTAAAAGGATGGACTGGAGGATGTCTAGGCTCCCTTCCAAATCTCTTAGGTTTTTCTGATCGCGTAAAATCCACATTCATGCAGAAAATCTGTAACCAGCCACCTTCACCGGTGAGTGGTGCACAGGTCCTTCTAAGTGGGTTCTTTTTGCTACAGCACAACTCTCAGACAGCCCTGTGGTCTGTGGATTCATCAGCATCCCAGCAAAACAGCCCTGCTTAGAAGTGAGCACAGCACAAGCTCCAGTAGGCAAAATCTCAACCTTTTCGAATGTGTTTTTTTTTTCCCATACCCATTTGCAGATGCTCCAAAGATGACCGTGTTTCAGATTCACTCTTTGTTATAATCTGTACGATTGCCAAATGGTTGTAGTCATAAATGTTATGGCCTGCATCCACTTTATCCTAGTATCATTAATCATGTTTAGAATAAATTCATTTTCCTAAACCCCGATCCACAGACAAGTAAGGGGGCGCATACACTGGCCTCAGAAGCATGAGGATAAAGTAAAAACCCACCCCTCCCAGGTGGTAGGGAGAAGATGTCTCATTAAGTCATACCTGCCTCCGAGTGGGAAAAACAATAGCATGAAAGAGGGTGCCAGTGACTTCAGATCCCTAGAGCTGGGTTCACCCTGCTGCCCCAGTCCCAGCCATCATGTCCACCACAAATCCCAAACTCCATGTTCCTAAATGGCATGATGACTCCAAGCTTCTCAGAAAGTAGGCAAAAAACATGAAAATGAAGGGACGATCAGGTGCACTGCAGTTATCTGACATGGAGTTTCTTTTAACGCTTCAAATATGTCCTTAAAATTTCAGCCTGCTTATTAATGAGTGGGCCATTGTGCTTCAAACTAGTAGGGGAACACAGTTTTTAAAAATTGCCAAAAAGCTAGATGAAAATGTACTACTGTATAAAGCAAAGCTGTATATAGTAAATGTTTTTTTAGCAGAGTACTATTTATTTGCATAGCCTATTTATTGTATTCGTATTACACTGTTATTAAATACCGGGATGAAATTGATGACCTGAAGCAAGGACTCTTGCCTTTTAATGTATCATTAATTAGGACTGCTGTGACACTGTCAGCTTGCGTTAACAATTAGAAGATAGAAAACCCACAATCAGGGTCTCTACCTAACTTCTCAGGGACTACACTTCGTAGTTTTCCACCATTATAAGAGCTGGTAAATATGAAACACTGGTTGAATTACCAGCATTGCCATTAACAGTATTTTCTTTCTCAGATTTCATGCTTTCTGCTTCTGTACATATGACTGTGCTGTGTATTTATCAAAGCTAGTAAGCAATAATTTATATGTAAAAATGGCCAAGCAATATAAGGTGAAAACTGATATGTCACTGTTACCTTATCTTGTATTTTCAAGTGTTTTTTTAAAACTGATTTTCCAAATATAAGATTATGTTAAAGATACTACTTCTGCCTCATAGCGTCTTGCTTCGTCGGTGATGTGTGTGGGCTGCGTAGCCTGTGTGCTGGCAGTGTATTCGGCTCAGTGGTTCGGAGCTCAGGCATCACTTGCTCACTGAGAGAGCTACAGGGAGGTGAAGAGATTCTCATGCAGCCCATAGGCACTGAAATCACGCTGCTGTTGAGTTATTGGAAATCGCGTCAGGATTCTCACATCCTAGGATTTGGAGAATCCATCAACACCCATCATCACCTCATCCCACTGGAGTAGGACCAGGGATCTCCCTTCTCACCTGCCCAGATCCTGGGAGAGGCTTCGCATTCTGTTGGTGATGGCTGGGCCTACATGGAGGCCCTGACAGCACAAGAGCCACAAGTGTGGTAAAGCAGAGGGGTGGTAACGCTCTGGGGAAATGGGGAGACGTATATACACACCGTGGTAGACTGTGGTTCACAATGCTGTCCATCCCTCCCTACGGAGGGTCACACATCCTGCCAACTGATGTCAAATGGGGCCTCTGACCTGTGGTAATCCCTCCCTGCAAGAGGATCAGGTGTCTCGCCACGTTGAACTCAGGAGTGGCCAAATATCTTGCTCTGTCCAAAGGAAAAAGGGGAGAAGTGACCTGTGCGCCTTATAAACCGAAGTTTTTGAGGTGGCCTGCGCCTGCCGTGTCTCCTGCTATGACCTGCCGTGTTCCAGGTAAAGGTGTCTCCATCCACCTGGGTCTCCAGCTTGTGAAGGATGTATAACTTGAGTAAGAAATAAAACATTGTCCTTAGAAGCCTCTGAGATGGGGGGTGGGGGTGTTACCTCAGCAGAATTTAACATAAGCTGACTAGTAGAGACAGTCTCCCGGGATGCTTTTTTCTTGATAAACTGCCCTTTCAAAGCCTCAGCCCACATGTGGCCAATAGTATTGGCTTTGCCTAGTACCTAATGGGTGGAACTTCCCTTTGTCCCACTTCCAAAGGGCTTGTCTCTAAATGGGAAAAGGTAAAGAAGGCCAGGAGATGGTTTTCTTGGGCCCTTCATCACCAGGAAGTGGCACTTCTGTGGAACAAGAGGAGATGGGAAAGGGAGCATGAAGGCCATTGCCTCTGAGACACTGGGGCACGGAGCAAGGAGGACCACTGAGCTCTACCACCTTGTCCTGGTCCCATAGTCACTACATCCGTGGGGACGGGCCTGGAGTCTGGAGCAATGCAGAAAAGGAAGGGAGGCTGGAAGCCCCAGGCTCCAGCTTCAGAAAGGAAGAGGAGAAGAAAGAGAAATTGCCATGGCTCGGGACACGGGGATTTTCTTCATTGGGATGGCCCATGCTGGGAAGATGAGGGCTCCTGCCCACTCAGAAGCCTGTTCTTGTTCAACCTGGCACTCCCCAGATGTACTTTCCTGTCCTGGCCCTGGTGCACTAACTACAACATCGCATTTCAGGGACTGGGAGCTCCCTGTCAGGTCCTGCTCCTTTTCCAGGTCTTCTGGGTTTCCAGCGAGCCACTCGTGTGTATTTGTTTTCCATTCACGACTTTAAGCCAGCGAGGTTCCTAAAGCTTTGGACGTTGTTCTAATCTTCTTCAGTAAAGTGTTCCTGGTCCTGAAGGCAGCACGGATCTCTCTCCCCTCACAGAGAAGCAGCCCGTTCCCGTGGTGCACCCAGTGGGCAGAGCAGATGTACGGTCAGCAGCACAAGGGCATTGTGGGTGCAGGGCTCCTGCGTTCGCTGGGCTCCTGGACACACAAGCTGAGATCCCTGCTCCAGCCACTCTCAGAGCTGGGTCAGGTCGCAGCTCTTGGTTTGGTGACTTGATGTTTGCTCAGGAGGAACTGGGCCTACTCCCCAGCCCTACTGTGTGGCTTTTAACTGTGTATCCCCTCCCTTGAGCTAGTGGGGATCGTCCAGGGGCTGGGTTAGGGTTCCCGGCGGCGGTCAGCTTTCAGGGCATTTCTGTCACAAGGTCACCTTACTCCTCACCAGGGCAAGTCCCATAGTAAGCTCTGCAGCACCTTCGGAATCTATTGCTTCAGCTCCGTGTGTGGTCCTTCACTCCAGGGTGAAGCCAGGGCACCGGGAGGGTGGGAACTATTCCAAGCGCTTCCCCGCTACCTAACCACTCACCATTTATTTTCTGCTAAAACAACACCACGGGGCAGATCTTCTCAGCGGGCCCCCTAAGAAGACAAGAACAAGCCTCCTTTTTGTGGCTTCTCCCCTCAACCTCTCCTCCCCGCCAATATCTTGGGCTATTTCTAACATCCCCAGGCTTTTTACAGGGAAGTGGGGGTGGGGGGCCGGAAAGCAGGCACTCCTGACTGGACGTTTCTTCTCCCAGCAGTCCCAGCGTGGAGCCTAGTGTGCCTGAGATGCTACCTTGGGAAGTGGTATTGAGCCCTCCTCTCCTTACGGCCCCACTCCTACCCACAGACATTTGGAGGTTCCTGTGTGGTTAGCAGTTGTCATTTCTAGTTAGAACTTGAGTGAAAAGAATCACATTCTGAGAAAATCCCTGCAGTAGACACTTGTTCTTGGAATCCTGGGGGTGGGGGACGGGATGCCACAGAGAGATTGATGTCTCAACAGCAATTAGCCCGCATGGGACACTTAAGGAAGTGGCAAGATCTTTCCCAAATTCTGTAGCAATGGTGACCCTCAGGTGTCCCCTAACTTAGAGGGCTCTCTCTCTGCAGGAGAGTCTCCTACAGTGAGTGATGCCACCAACCCAGCCAAGTCCGAACCAGGGGAACTATCTCGACCCCCGACCCCAACACCACTAGCTCATCAAGCCTCTACCAGCTGTATCATCCCCCCACCCCTGCCTGAGTCCAGACCCTCGTTGTCCATTACGTCAATCATTACAATAACCTTCCACCTCGCGTCCCAATCTCTTATCTAAATTCCCCCCATATAATCTCTAAACTGCTCTCAAAAACATGTTTTCCCCCTGAAACAAATCTGATTGTGTTTTTCCCAGCTCAAAATTCAGCTCGTTGCCTAAAGTATAATGAGCTCTTCCCCACCAGCGATGTGCACACAGACCTAAAACCAACTAGCAATTTGGTCATCGGAGGAGAGCTGTGCTAGGAGACCTTTGAGATCCTTCCAGCCCCTGGCTGTTAAGAAAGCTGATGCAGAACGTGATTGTTCGAGCTAATTACTTGTGGCTTTTTTAAGGAAGTCACTTGGCTGCTGTGGGAAATAAGAACTGTTCATGCTCCTTTGTATTCAACTGACCTGGGCTGGGCCCCCAGCTGGAAGGGAAAAGAGTGGGAGGAAGCCGGAAAGGAGCACCCGGCCCCTTCCCTGTCCTGTGCCCAGTGCTGACTCCACAGTCCTACCAGGGATGAATGGCTGCAATAAACAACCAAACAAAAGCCCTGAAATCAATGCAGCAGGGCCTGCCTCTGAGTACCAAGCTGCTGCCTCCTCAAGGTAAGGCGGGTGCAGAGGAAGGGTAAACTGTGTCCTGCTGTCACTGTATTCCCAGCCCTCTGGTCTCACCACGCCTTCTCTCCCAGGCTCCCTGCCTGGACCCAGCACTCAGGTCTGGCCAGTCTTTTCTCCGCCACAACCCCACCCCCCCACACCCCCGGATATGTTGTGCCCAAGACCCCTTTCCTACCTCCCATGCCAGCTCATCCACTCCCAAGCCCTGCTGGGTGACCGCACACTGACCCTCCCTTATCCCTATCTGAATTCCCACAGCAGGCCCCACCCATGACTGTTTGGGGAACCGCCCTGTATTGTCTTGCCTCCCACCCAGCGTGGGCTGCCTGGAGGGTGAGGAGCAGGGTTAACTGTAGCCTCTGCAGCCAGACTGCCAGGTTCAGAACAGGCTCAGACATTTAAGAGTTGGAAGAATTGGCAAAATTTTCCATCTTGATGTGTTCATTGTTGTTTCTGCACCTCATAAAATGAGGGTTAAAATGCCCCTACCTCACAAAGTTGTATGAGAAATAAATGAGAAAATGCATGTGAAGTGCTTAGTACAATGCCTAGTAAGTACATAGTTAGTACCCAAATGATAACTATTGATGATGATGATGATAGTGATGGTGATGATTAATGCTGGATGCATGCCAGAAGATTTGCACCCAC